CGGATAAGGCTTCATGTAACCGCCGTGTGAGAAATAGCTGCGAGGACTGTTTGTAGACCTGCGATATTTGCGTGGAGGAGGAGCGGGATAGAGAGGAGGAGGGAGAGAGGCGAGGTGGCTTTGAGGCGCTGTGGAAGCTTTTATCTGACATCATGTGAGGCTTCAAAGTTTCGATACCGAAATACTACCAGTTCAATTGAGAAGGCTGAAGTAAGATGTAGTAAATCAGTCGAGGATGAACACTGGCAGGTTACAGATACTGTCGTTCAAGTTGTTGCTTGCTCTTCGGGTAGGCCGAGCTTCAAACATCCTCGGTCAACTGCGGATCACGAGGTCTCGTTGTCTGGATCCGTCATATTTAAGCTTTTCCAAAAAATGCCCTCCGAGCGCTGGCGATTATTTATGTGTTCGTCCATATTTTAGCTCAGTAAATACAGATCCATTGTCTCCTTCTCAATACTTGCTGACTGCAATTGTGGTGTAGACAAAGAAAGGACTTCAAGCTCTTCCTGCCAGATCCGATATTTGCTCTTACTCTAATAATTTGAAGTTATGTGCAATCTCCTCCATGAAGGGAAATTCACACTAGCAGACAACTTCTTTATCACACCACTATGTCTTCTTTTCTGATGAAGTTAGGAAGGTTCCTGTCTCTTGTTTGTGTTGCTCATACTCTGAGCTCTGCACACAAACTGACAGGTATTAATCAGCCTTCATCTGAACATCTTTCTTGACTATTTCATTCACCCTGGGTTTCTGATTTGCTCAATCTCCGAACAGCTAAGCTCTCTGGCTTTGCATGCCCCATTTCCCTTGTTTTCTTTCATCTGAACAGCAAGGCTCGTTCGTTAAATATGGATGTGACAAGGCAGTCTTTTAGTCAACATCTACCGAGACTTCTAAATGACTTAGCAAAGTCTTCTTTTGTTGCCGTGGACTTGGAGTTTTCCGGGATCGTTCCAAGGCAGTCTGCTCCGAGCCCTGGAAGCAATCTATGGGGTGAGAAACAGACTCTACAGACGAGATACGAAGAAGTTAAAGAAGCAGCTGATACCTATCAAGTGTTGCAAATTGGGTTGACCTTTGCAATGGAGGACGGGGAGACTGGTTAGAGCGATCATTTTGGTTGGCGACTGTCGGTTCGATGCTGAAGAAGAATATAGGGACTTATGTGTTACGACCTTATAACCTCCATATAAATCCCGTGCTTGACGAAAGATTGGGAGTTGAAAGGCGATGGTCTTATCAAAGCCGTGGTTTGTACACCCCTATCAATTTTGGCAATTTCACTGTTCCAGCAATGACGTTTTCCTGAATGAACAAGCCGTCGAGTTTTTGATAAAAAATGGATTTCGAATGGAAGCACCGTTTGTAGAAGGGCTGCCATACCTTTCGCGCCTCGAAGAACAATTGGCAATGACGAAATTGGCGGAGAGTGAGAACAGCACTGCAAAAATTGCGGACATCAAACCCGAAAACATGGACCCAGAATCCCATACATTCGTAGCTAAGGTTCGCGGTCTCATTGACTCATGGATTGACGAGATAGGGGTAAGGAGAATATATAGTTTCATTGATTCTAAATCATCGCTGACAGCTGAAAGGATAAGGAAGAATATCTCAACATTCCAGAACCTGGTGGACTGGAAAATGGGAATATGGCAGGTCCTCTAGGGAGCTGGAGGTTCGCCCTAAACAGTTACCAAAAACGTTTGGTCCATCAGCTGGTTCGCGCAGAGTACCCTTCTCTTGTCTCAATCAGTCGAAAAACTTTCGTCCAAATCATTCCCTACAACAAACAGCGTGAGGAGTACATACGCGTTGATAAATGGCGAACTCTTCGAGAGCGGATTGTCCAGCAAATGGGGTTTCGATGGATTGTTGAGGGCATGGTTGGAGGTGACCTCTCTGCAATGGACCCGAGGGTCTTTCTTCCCTGTATCCCAGATTCAGCCACAGTTGACGCAGAGGCCTTGTCGAACTACTCTGACGACTTGCGGTCAAAATTGAAGTCAAGACAGCCTGTTTTGGTTGGACATAACTTGTTCACTGACCTCATCAACTTTTACAAATGCTTTATTGGCAACTTGCCGGATCGCATCGAAGATTTCAAGGAAGCTATCCATTCTTTATTTCCCCTTGTAATTGACACAAAATATATGGCCACGCACAATTGTTCATCAGTGACGCCCTCATCCTCCCTGGCAGAAATTAACGACAATTTGGCGATGAGGAAGACGCCCAAAATTTGTACGTAACACCAATCAAATTGAGGCCCTACATTCTAACCGCGCGCACTTTTTAGTCATTGACCCGGAGCATGATAAATACGTTGGGCAGAAGCCACTTCATGAAGCGGGATACGATAGCTTGCTCACTGCAAAGGTTTTGATCAAACTGACTGCGGAGTTACAAGGAGAGGCGCCAATAGCTAACGTTCCGCGACCATGCATCGCTCAGCCCGTTGTTCTGGATGACTGGCCAAGGGCACCTTTGAGGACAGCGTCGAGAATGCGAAGCCGCGTTGAGAATAAAGCCAAAAAGCTCATAGACATAGGCGAGCCAGATTGTAGTGATTCCCAGAGTTTCTCCTCGTCGACGTCGATTTTTGATAGGCGGTCAAGTAGCGAATTGGTTGCCATATCAACACCAAAGCAATCGCCAGTGGATTGGAGCACGGAGAGTGAGGTCTCTCGAATACGATCGCTCCTTTCCACTCCAACGCAATCGGAACCACTTGCTGGTCGAACACACGGTACTGACAAAAGCCAGCCCCCGTTTATGGATCCAAGTTCGCCTTTCTGGAAACTTCAGGAGAGGGCCATGATCCAACACAAGAGAAAGAGAGCCAGGCTCATTCCTCAATTTTTGGATGATTTCTGGGGGATTTATGGAAACAAGCTCCGAGTCTTTGGGACTCTCGAAGAAATATGCGATTTGAATTGACCTATTTTAAGCATAGGGATAACAATGACGCGATACACCTCAAACGATTTACAGGCTAGGTTTAGATCCTCCTGAGAGATGACACACATGTTTTAATTTGATATGTAAATTGCTACTAAGAAAATGAATGGAAGAACTGATTTAGCTCGAATGCTTTGTGCTGGAGGAGGGGGGATTTGTATGCAGTAGCTATCTAACTGTACACCTTAGAGGATGAAGGTACCGCTAGCGAAAATTGACCGCAATGACGGAAAATCTTTTTCTAGGCACTTCTAAATGATCAAAAGCTGTGGAGAAGTTAAACAGAGCAATTGATGATAAGGATCGGTGCCATGTTTTTTGAAGATAGAGAAGAGAAGAGGAATCAAACTGCGACAAGAAAATTTTATTGGTGGAATATATATCAAAACTATATCACGTGATTTTCACTACAATAGCTCTAGCGTGCCAAGATGTATAATCCAAGTGGAAAGCATTTGCGGACAGACATTTTTTTCGCAGATTCTGGTCGATGCTTGATATTGAACAGTTAGCAGTAGCCTGGACGCAGACCACGACATAAAACAAAGAGCAATTGGTGTCCACATTGCTTGGGGGAGATGTCTGCAGGAACGAATGGCGCCAGGCGTGTTGCAACGCTGTTGAGTATGTGATAATATTTTTTCCCATCTACAATGAACGTGAGGTTGTCTGGAGTGTATATGCTAATTGAATATAGGGCCGTCAACATTCGATTCTGTTGTGTGCAGAAGCTGTCAAGAGACGCTTAGTCGCCGCGGATATGCCACTGCTGCAGAGTCCGCAGCTCCAGCGACAACACAGACCACACCATCAGACACTACGAATAGTTCTCCAATCCTTACACCAAAGTACGACATCAAAGCCGGAATCGTCCTCTCCCGCCCACCCCGACTAACTCGCGAGCTCACCTCATTCGAGAAAGCCTTCTACTTCTATCAACGCCGTTTAAACGACCGTCTCGCCCTCCCCTTCACTCGATACTTTTATTTCAAGCGCGACACTCCCGCAGATGTCGATTGGAAGCGCAAGATCAAAGACCGCCTAACACCCTCGAGAGATATCGGGCGATATAATGCGTATTCGAGCGAGGCGTGGAACGATGAGTTGCTTGTTGGCTCCGTGGAGTCGGAGCCGGAGCATCAGATCAATGCGCTGGTGAAAGATGCTGAAGGGCGCGCCGTTACTGAAACAGAAGAAGGGGAAGGGAAGAAGGACGAGATCCCGCGTCCGCTTCCGAGGTTTACGGAGGCGGATGAAAAAGGGGACCACAGGAGCTTGGATCGGCTGCTGCATCGGACACTGTATTTGTTAGTACAGGTTAAGAATGGGGAGAAGGCATTTTGGATGTTCCCGAGTGTGAAATTGGAGGAGAAGGAGAATTTGAGGATGGTTCGTATAGTTCTTTATTCTTCTTTATTGTTTTGTCCCCCTTTCCTTTGAAAACCTGTTACTTTTGTTTTCCCCTGTACCGTGCCTCCCCCTTTTCCGGTAGCAAATTACCTAGTTCCTTGATTCAAAGTTTCTCCGGCTGCAGTATATAAATCGACCAAGCTAACCACATGAATCAATACAGGGAGCAGAACGCGCCCTCTTTAGCTCCGCTGGCCCCAACATGAATACCTGGATGGTTGGCTACCACCCCATTGGCCACTACGTTTACAACCTACGCAAACCAAAACCTAACCCGGAAGCGGGGATAGAATTCCGCGGCGAAAAGATATTCTTCCTTAAGGGCAGAATTATGGCTGGCCAGGCGGACCTGACGAAAAATACGCAGGGTATTACCGACTTCAAGTGGCTGGCTAAGGATGAGATTCAGAAGTATGTACTGCCGGTATATTGGAGTTCGATTAAGAATATGTTGGAGGAGAGATAGTGTTTTGGAGGGAGGACTTTTCTTGGGTGAAGTTTTGGACATCCGTATAATTTCCCGCTTTGTGCGCTTCAAATGCTGAATGGAATAAGCCCTGGTAAGGAGCGGGGTCAGGTTTCATTTTGGAGCTTTTCATCCCTCCCCCCCCCCCCCTTTCATTTCTCTCCCTTGTGTCGGTTTTTATATTTGCATGCCTTCTGTATAACTAGATCTGTCGGGTTTGATAAAGCTGTATTTGTATTCTATGATCGAATTTTTTTCACGTCAAGGAAGGCCTGTTTCCTGTCCTTAGCGTATCAATTAGTGAATTATATATTTTAGTGTATTCGCTGTTCATAGAAAGATGGTATAAGATCTTGATTAACCTGGAACAAGACATTCCTGACTTAAGAATACAAATCCCAGAATCCTCCCTTTAAAACACCAACCTTAACTCCATCTCAAAACCCAAGGCGAATAAAGATATCCTACCAAATAATATCACATACATGTATCTAGCGATACCCTCGCCATAGCCGTTACCAAACCGGACGAAAAAGAAAACAGTCTTCTCTGAAAAAATGAATATATTAGGCACGCACACCCTCTCTACAACCGTGTAGCGGGCAGACATAAGAAGAGAAAGTCGAAAGGGCATAAACTAATGACGGAATAAGAAAAATCTGGGCACAAAATTCCGGTTCATTTACAATTGAATTTTTGCCCCTGAACGACGGGCTGGTCCTTCGAATATTTACCCGTGGCGGTTAGGTTTTTGCCGCACATTGCGCACGCTACCAGGTCGTACAATTAGTATGGCGCTTTTAAATTAACGAGGAAGCGGAGAATAACATACCATTCTTGGTATAAGCGCACCGTTGGCAGAATTTCCTGCCCTGCTCTGTCTTGGCCTTGCATGACTCGCAAGCACTCGAGTAGGCAGCATAAGGATTTTTCGCCTTACTGCTAAGCAGTTTATTCTGTTTCGGAAAAGTCAGCGGGTTGCTTTAGTCCTAGTTCTTTTATGGTCGCGAAACGAAGGAGATATCAATAAGTCACTGGTGGATGGGGCTTAAATACCATCCACTTTGGCACGGTTTTGTTAAATTTGCAGTGAGTGCAGGGCTTTAGGACCAAGATTGTTGTGCTATCATATACACGAGGGGTGCATGGTGATGGTGGAATACTATTTGTAGGGCTGAAGAATTGCACATGTTTATGTCAAATTCTAGCCACGCTCAGACAAATTGCAAAAGACACCTAGATCAGTCACACGCTGAAACCCCATCTGCCGAACTGCATAGGTGCAAGTCATGCATCGGATTTGCTCAACCAGGCAATAACTAGGCGTGCTCATAAGGTTCAGGGGGCGCACATAGGAGAAGTGATCATCCCTACCTTTGATATGCCGGCATTTCCTAGTGTTGTAGATGATTTACTCTTTGCATCTCTACCGCCACCGACGGTGCTGCTTGGAGAGCCATAATACATATCATTCTTCCGCTTGACAGCTGGAGTGGCGAGCTCGGTTTTCTTGAGTTTCCTTTGGCACCTCGAACAGACCATTTTGGCAATGGAATGAATGGTTACCAATATATTTTATGTATGTTCACCTTCTTTCGCCGATTCTTTATGACGGTATAAACAGATTCCCTAGAATGAAGCTGTTGGCTGAGGTCTCCGGAAGAGTAGAGGATGGGGAGCGAGATGAGATGGTAGAGTGACAACATGGAAGTTTGCCAGGGAATGCAAGGGCGGTCGTTCCTGTTGCAGTTTGGGCTGTTCGAATCGGGTTTAGCCTTAAAGCTAAATAAGGCCTACAACTTTATTTTTTTTCATCATCGCATTCCTCGAACTGCGTTGATCTGTTTTGTCCACTAGCTCTATATAGCCATGATAATCGTTAAGGAGAGCCGCAGCGGGGCCAACTCGATGAAATGCTGGCGAGCCGGTGCTACATTCTAACGTCAATCTTATGTGCTTACTCCGTACACTCCGGAAAATGACATGTTAATTCCCTTCACCAGCTGGGTGCTAGATGGGAATAGCCATGACTAACACGCTTAACTCATATTATCTAGCAGTTAGATATGCGTTTGGAGGTTTGGACAAGTGTCCCACAACATTCACCACAATGTCATCTCCCATATTTTAGATTCAAGGGGCTGACAATCAAGACCTGCAAGGTACTACTGATCATCGGAGCCGACGATGCTATGCCAGCCATGACATGTCCCAAATCTGTACCCATTCATTTAAGGCTGAAAAGGTCTATGGATGTTGGAGCAGTTTCAAATGCTGTTCTAGTACTCTACAATATCTGCTGACGCTGGAGTCACCAAACCTCAACAGGAAAAGCCGACACCAATTTGGATTTGTGCCTCACCTAGCGGCCTCTCTCATCACGTTTCTACCACTACGCCCCGGAGCTTGACTGTGAAGCTATCCCTGCGTAGGTAGGGTCCATGGCGCCTTCAAAATTATGGACAACAAGTAGTTTAAGTCGCATCGGAAGAGAGTACCAGTCCACAACTACCCCGACTGCCTTTGATGGCTCATCTTGGCACAGCTACACATGTGCTAGGGAATGCTATAATTCCCTATAACTGCCCAATTCATATCAGTCAGTATTATCAAGAGCAGGCTTGCCAAAATTCATTTCGTTGCCAGGCAGTGATGATACAGCATTTGCACGTTGCTAAATGTACTGTACAGTACAATTCTCAAACTCGAAGAGAAAATAACAGATCATGGCAGAATGAAAGACCACATACTATTAGTTAGCTATGGAACCCGGTTAGGTCGGCCGCGGAGTACAGCTAAAGATGAATGTACTATACAAAAATATGTGCATTACGTTATTCTGCGTGGTCCAAGTGGCAAGCCGCACAGCGCCACCGGAGGTTTGCGCTAGACAATCACATGATCAGCCTCAGCCACAGCCTCGGCTTCAGCCAATTGCTCCATCAACCACACATACAACGTTGGGGTTTGCCGTGAGTTATGTATTCCCCTCGCCTTATGCTTCATGCATTGCGGAGTTCATGCGTCCTGGATATTCGCCTCTTGCCAAGCCAACTACTTTGTGAATTCCCAGCTGAAATCTCGAAGGAGATTACCCGCCGTCTTGGTTCGGCATTCGAGGCTATCTATCGTGTAACATACAACCTTTTGTGGCTAATTGCGCTGCGTCCTCTTGTTAGCGCACCTTACAGACAGCATTGAAGTCAAAAAAATGCGCTTCACACTACCTTGTTCCCCGAGCCTACTCTGTATCGATCGATTTAGTCTCCTAGAATCAGAAGCATACGAAGTCCCATTTTGGCAAATCTTCAGAGCCGCAATTACAGCCCGAATTGAAGGATGGGGCGACCTTGTCGGGCTATTGGAAACTATTGCAGTCACTCTTCATTCGTCGAGTCTCCGAGACTACGACACTCTGCGCGGTTTTCTGCAAGATGAATGGGCTTCAAAAGAAACCCACTTTTTCACCGAAGTGTGGCCAGAGCTAGTGCGGTTGGCTTTAGAGATGCCTCAGCTATTCCCTGAGAGTTCTCTTCTTTGCCTCTCCGAAGAACACCGCGAGCTGGAGTTGTCAAGACGACAAGTTGGGTGCTTAGTCATCCACCAATTCCTCTGCTCACTACCTAAACAGCCATGGGCTACAGACAGTTCCCAGGACTTTCGAATTTGGTACTCGTCAGGCTCCAGACACTTACTGGCAACCCGGGCCTATTTAAGTTCCCTCTTCACCTACTTTCAGCGACTAAGCGGCGTAGGAGATGAGACACAGCGTGTACTTTCCCCACTCATGAATGAATGGCGTATCATATTTACCTTGCGCATTCTCCAAGAAAACCAGGTTGTACAGCTCGATCCGTCCCTACTAAAGTACCCACTCTGCCGGTTAACAGTCGTCCACCTGCCAACCGCATCAACCGAGCCGTCGCTGCTCGGACTTCCTGACGGGGCGTGTGTCATCTCAGCCAACAAAAACGTTGGCTTTGGACAAACGGGCACCCAAGAGGAAACCCAAGTGGGATCATCACCAGAATCTTGCCCTGTTGTCCTGCTCACACCCACGCTGCAGAATAATCAAGTGTTGATCGTACAGGGCGCTGAGGCCATGGTCACTATCAAAGGATACGGACGCGAAGCCAGGCTTGATTCCGTCCTGACAGCTGATTATGGGTTTTCAGCCGGGGATTCGCAATGGTCAAAATGGCGACGACGCACCATGCTCTTCATGGATGCTCTGCAGTTAGACCAGTTTATTGTGGACAAGCGAAAAATTGCGGATCATCTTCCTGGGCACGTAGATCGCGAATTGCTCAAGGCATACAATGCTTTCAGTAGCAGCCCTGGAAAGGGTGAGTGCAAGAGTAACTATACCGAAATAGTTACTGGGCTTTGGGGCTGTGGCGCTTTTGGCGGTAACCCTCAAACTAAAACACTAATACAATAGTGTGCTGCTTCGATGGCCCAGACAAATCTACGGCTCGTCTTGTCAGGCGAGGATCACTTTGCCCTGGCGAGTGAGCTCAACGAGATCGTGAAGATGACGCGCGAGGGATTGTGGACGGTCAAAAATGTTCTTGACACGATTGGTGCGCTGAAGCCTTATGACTGACCTCGCGTGTCACGGGTAGATCCTGTTTGAACACCGCAGCCGTGAGCCTAACCGGGTAATGAGGTATGCTCCTGCAATTCGTTCGAGATAACTTGCGATACTTGGTCGGATGCGGATCGCACGCGACGTTAGGAATGATGCTCAACTGCAATGGACCCTACCCTGCTCCGCCCTAAATCAATCATATTAACAATGTCCAGGAGGAGGTGCTTCAGGGTTGGTCGAGGCCGCATCTAAAGTAAAATTACATGGACTTTCCCGCCGTTAAGAAGAGGAAACGCTATATAAAGGGGATAGGGGACGTTTGCTGTTAGACGCATGATTACCGTGAAGTCAGTGTCATACATAGCCTCCATACATACAAGCAAGTTTTTAAGTTTTACGTTGCGCATGATTCTTTGATCTTCTGATCTGTTCATGAGATCTCCACTTATTCAGCCCGCCAATTGTTTGCTCGGCCCCTGTAAGGCTGAGCCCCGAGGTGACCTAGATATTCTTTCTTCCTTTTAGCCTCCATCTTTCTGGATTTCCCCTGATTGGACAACCATACGGGTATTTGTTTTTTTCATAATCTGCTGGCAGGTTCTGTGCTGTTTCCCTCGCTTGGAGGCACGGCTCCGAGAACGGCTGCATTTCGATGCATGAATAAAAAAAACTCGCAACGCTGCGCGGCGCATCACAATCCTTGAGGTAAAATTAAGGATATTGCAGAATTTGGTTTTTGAGCCCTTCCAACTCCTGGGATACCCTCCTTGCGCTGCGTTTTCTTGGGCGTTTGAAAGTAGCCGTAAAAAAGAGTGTCCGCGGAAGTCATATATTCAATAATTTATCCGAAGATCCTCACAGGCCTGCAATTACAGCAATACCATACCATCGTTATCATTCCAGCTCTGCCGGTCGTGGTGGCAAAAAATACTAGCCAGGGCTATCAAAAGCGGCATAAATGGGCGGCGTTGAACAACTTCGCATCGCATGCCTGTTAGCCGCTGAAACCACAGATTTTCTATGGCCTGGGTGTGACCCCTTGCTGGCTTGGCTGGTTAACACGCCCGGGGCCTCTTTCGGCAAGGTAACATTCAGGGAAGCAAATAAAATCGTCCGCGGCATGGCATTTGCTGGTTGGCCAGCAGTCCCTCCAAATCGCACACAGAGCCTGCGTCTTATGCGGCCGTCACCGGAGGCAGAAGCCAGGGCCTAACTATGCAAGATGCGCATGCAAGGCCATTGTTGTGTCTGGGCCATCCGGGAAGAGCTGTCAGAGGAAGATGGAGATTTTTTTTTTTTCTTTCCCTTGTTGGCAAAGGCCGTAGCTAGATAGGAAAAGCACATTCGTTCCCCAGTAAAGCAAAATACCGTATATACTTGGGAAGTTGCCGCGTGTGCGTGCATACTCTGGTTTTGCGCATTTTTCTGCTCGGAAAATGTCGCTATCTCCCCTCCATTCAGCTTTTTCTCCCACTCTCTCAATCCCCTTTCCCTCTCTCCTTCTTTTTCAATCTTCCCTGTCTAGTTACAGGAATGACGAGGATATAATTCTATTTTGCCTTCTCTCTGTTCTGTTTCATTCACTCGTTGTGTTTCATTCTTGTCGTTCATTCTTTGGCCGGAAAAGCAAACGCCACACCGTCTGACCAGGCCAGCTGTACTGGAGCTCACCATCTCCACCACAGGCGCCTCCCTGGAGATCTTCTCATCGAGAAAATTGGATTCTATGAGCCTACGGAGCATTTAATCCGCCACTTAATTATTTAATTCCTTAATTACGAAATGACTGTTCTACGAATTGCTTCAAATCCTTAATTACTACTCTATATATACTCCTACATATTTGCACCGGTGTCGGCAGACGGGTTTTGGGTGGTGTCTTAAATTCCTCAGAACAATTGTTGAAGACATCAAATTATTATCTTCTTTCCATCGTTGACCATTCCGCTCGCTACATTCTCAATTCGTCCTCCCGCGCCAGAATAAAGGTGCGTCACACAGCTCGAAGCTGACTTCTCATCCTTCGTTGCTGGATAGTTATCCCCTCAATTCGACCCGCATATTTCCTCCTCCCTGTTATAATTGCGGCTGCTTCGGACCCTTTCAACAATTCTACTCCTGCAGTTGCAAGGGTGCTTCACGCCAATTGGATACTACCTCTAGGACTACGCGCTTTGGACGCGAGGATCAGAAGCTCGCCTCGCCTTTACCCATAAACGCGCAAAAGGAGGCTTCCCGGGGCCTTTAATTAGTTGCCTACATTTTATTGTTCCTATTGCAATTTCCACCGGGTAGCTAGTGGCGCTAAGGCTGCCGTTCTCGACCCCCAACCGGTCCTTTCGCTGGTGTAGCTCCAGCGACCTCCAGCAACGGCGGTTCGCTTAGAAACTCCTGGTTTCTTTGTCAGACAAGTCGCGAAAACAAACGGATCCAGGTTGCTGAGGAAGCTAGGAAGGAATCTTACGTCCCGGGAGCGACATTCTTGATATATATAAAATCAACCTGCGAACACAATTTAGGATTGGACTTAATAAACAATGCCCCCCGACAGATCATGTTTTACGGCGCTGAACCTGCCGCCAAGTTTCTCCTTTCCGGAGCGCATGGACTATTTTACATTGGCCGCAGCACCCAACACTGATTTATGGCGCAAACCGCCGGACGGCGACACCTCGACAGCGCCTATTTTGTTCACTTCACTCCTGCAACCATTCGTTATTGCAGAAGTGACAGTCACTGCAGACTGGGAGATGGAATGGGACCAGGGCGGCTTAGTTATATTCGCAGGCCCAGCACCTTCCCAGCAAACACCGCCACGGTCGAATATCGGTCGTAATAATGTTAATGATAATAATACTCACATCATCCCGTCGGCCCAATCACCTCGAGAGCAACCAGCACCACCTCCATACCCGCAGGCACCCCGCCACACCCCCTGCAAATGGGTAAAGGCTGGTCTGGAATTTTCATCTGGAACCGTCAACGCTTCCTCCGTCAGTGCTACGGCGGATGGTGCAGATTGGTGTCTGTCCCCCTTGGCCATGCCCAACCAGCCCACAACAATCAACTCGCTGCGGATAAAGCTCGAGCGCGTTGGCCACTCACTCTGGGTATGGTATCAGCTGCCTTCAGCAGTCACCCCTTACCCATGCACGCCTGGTGCGCTGAGTAATACCTGGCGAAAGCTCCGCGAGGTCACCTGGTTCTTTTGGGGTGTCGAGGACAAGAGTGTCCATGTCGGTGTGTATGCTAGTCGTCCAGCAAATTTTTCAATGAATAGTAGTGCCTGGGCGACGAGGAATAGGAGTCGTTTTGTCCGAGATGCGACTCAGGGACCAGGACAAGGGGCTGGGACTGGGGCTGGTGGAAATGGTACTGGAAATCACCCCATGGTCGATGGAACAGGGCCCGATGGACTGGTCGTGGAGTTTGAGGATTTGGAGATTTTTTGAGAGTGTGATCATGATTTAAGTAACTTTCCTGCTTTATCGTCTTTGCTATTTTCTAGTGACGGGGTTTCAGGACAAGTTCGGGGTTGATTTGGGTTTATCTGCGGGATTTGGTTCTTTTCTTTCTCTCCTTTTTTCCCTCCTCTTCTTCTCAATTTTTTATTTGACGCCCTCTATTGACATTCATGAGGTAATAATTGACTGATCAAGAACACCTACGAACATTTTCTTGCACGGGCACAAACGCAATTTGAATCTACCAGCATCATATCTTAATATCTTTCTTTTTAAATATTGCCATGTATTGTGTCTTTACATACCATTTACTATATATCACGACATCTATATTTTTTCCTACAACTTTTACAAATTGTCTTTTGTATTCCTGCACAAAGGAAAATTTTCATCCCTGAAACCGCTACTAGCTTGGACAACCTAACTGTGAGAGAGGCGAATTTGACCTCTTTAATATAATCAGAATGGATGAACGGGGAATGGGCGATTGTATCTATAAATCTATTTCAATAATAATTTTTCAGTTTTCCTACAGTATGTAACATAAAATGTAATTCACCAAACTCGGCTCCTCGCGGCCTTGAGTCTTTCCCCTGGATGCTCATCATAAAAAAAGTCCATCGCTGCTGTGATCAGAGGGCCTTTTGGTGCCAATTCCCTAACAAAAAGAACAGAAAACTGAGCATTATCCAAGCTTATCCATCCCTTACGACAAACAAACATAAAATAAAATAAAATAATTTACTAATTCTCCTTAAAACTCAGTAAAACTACGGAATAGATATAACAAGACTCAGAGAGCTGAGTCAGCTCTTATATCACACAGTTTCAGTGAAACTTCAGAGATTTTACAATTTGAATCTCTTACTCTGTATTGAGCTCTCATAATAAGATTTCAGATTTCAGTGTATCTCATCACAATGAAATTATCATCGCAACATTACTTGTATTTTTTGTAAAAAAGAGACGAAAATGTCACCATTGGCGCGTAACCGTCGATGAAAATGACATGCAACAAAACAGTCGAAGAAACAGAATCATATCGCGTTGTACAGTTTTGCGCTATAGTTTGTGAGATTGGATTTTACTATTGAAAATGGTTCAAGTAACGGTATATAGTCATAAAGCCGAGTTCTAACGCATGGATAGAGGGGGAAGATCGAGATTGGCACCGCAGCATTCTCTGCGAATCAGTTCTCTGTTTATAAATAATGTAAATTCTCTACGCTTTCATGCGTTTCTCAAACTAGTTGTTCAATAATACGGGGATTAGCTGGAAAACATATGAAGAAAAGGGAAGATAAATAACTTGAAGTAGAGTAGGCTGTAGCAATAATGGAAAGAATAGTTCTTTTTTCATTGCAAAATCTTGACTTCGTAACAATGTCATGCAGCGTGGGGGTACATGTGCCATACATAGCTCATATCGAACTGACCACAACACGAGTAGGAGAGTAATTCGAAGTAAAGCCACCCATCCAAGACCGGGCCTCTTTAAAGACAAAATAGCTGTAACTGTTTCCCGCAGCCAAAAGCTTCCTGCAGCCAGAATATCAAAGTTCATAACCATAAAACTAAGTATTCCAAAGCATGATTGAATCATCTTAGTTCTGCTTTCCAGCGTCGTCATAACTGTGTACGCAAAGTTGCTGGGTGCAAGGCCCACCCGGAGGAGTGCATATTCCACAACTGGAATTACAGCACACCTGGCCTGTAGGGCATACCCTCCGACCGCATTGAGCTGGTTCGCAATGTTGCTCCGTGCACTTTCCACCGGGCGGAGTGCAGAAACCGCAGCTTTCGTTGCAGCAGACCTCGCCTTGAGGGCAGGTGGTTGTCCCACATTTGACGGGCGTTGGTGGGCAGAACATTTTAGTACACCCCTGGCCCGGCCGGGCACAAATGCCGCAGCTCTCGTTGCAGCACACCTCTCCCTTGATGCAAGTTTTGGGGCCGCACTGTACGCATCCGACTTTGGGACCCGGTAGAGGGTTGGCGAGTGCGCCCAAGGTCATGGCTAGGAGTAGCAACCCTTTGAGAGAGAAAGTAGAGGAAGACATTTGTAAAATCGAATTTTGGGGTGGTCCGAGTCTTGTCGTTGGGATTGGAATGTGGCTATGTGAATGATAGCAGTCAGGAAATATGGTTCGGAACGGATGTCAATTAAATCAAGACAGCTAGATAGGCTTGAGAATTTCCAGTGAGAAAATCCAACCATGAAACAGGGGTAGAAAGCCTCCTTTATATGCAGTAAGATTTGATAAAGTGGGAAGAGACGCAACTCCGGGGGAGTTCCTTTGTACATGTCAGCTTGCTTATTTTATACGAAGATCTACCTCTACCTTTTGTCCATAGATTAAATCTCACGGCTGCATTCCTGCCAATGCCAGCCAACCTGTTGATGCCCGTATTTGACAAGTGACGAGGAGGAGGTAAACCTAAAAATGAAACTTGGTGAACCACAGCGCCGAACTGGAAGCGAAAACTTCGTCGATCCACGCTATCAGCGCCATCTGAGTTGCTAGGCACAGCTCGTTCCTGCAACTGAAACTAGCTTGTCGAAGTGTGCTAGCAGAGCAAACATTTCCAGCGAATGTGAGAACATATTTGGATCTGGCCTGGTAAGAATTCGAGACACCAAGAAAGATCCATTCATAGCCAAGCCCTCGATCGAACTTCAGCCAACCGCGTTTCTTTCCCCTTCTGGGTACTTTGCTGGGCCCGGGCCAGCTGGGGCTAGCCAAAGCACCTTCGCATTTTATATGTGCTTTGGCTTCCGAGATTTTCTTGACGTTAAATTTCGGAAATTACGCAAGAAAAAAGAAATTTCAAAATTTCACCAGCCCTATTCAGCATCAACTTTCGAATTTCAACGACACGGGACACGGGGTGGAGAAGTTGATTCAGTTGGCAGCTGTGTGTGTACATGTACACGAGTAGTTCCGAGGCCAGGATGCGTGTCTCAGGTAGTTATCACAGCAGGGCGGCTTGATGAATGCCGCTGACATCGAATGGAGACAAGATAAACACCCTGTCAAAAAGTTCCATAGGGATAAGCTACCAACGAGCCAACGACTTGGAACGTCGACAAGTTGACTTCGTGTTTGGGATGTGGTTGATTTAAGGCTGAGCCAGCAAATGAGGGCAATCCCAGCCGCACTAGCAGATGCCATCAACCAATGACACAAGTGACACAACACGAGGCTTCCAACGTCCAACGCCGCTTCGACCATGATCTGTTCGGCTTTTTCCCAACCACCATGACCATAGCCACAACGACGGGTGGAGTCCCACGCGCCGAAAACCTAAGCTGATAACCGTCACTTTATCATGGCTTATGGGGAGATATTTGTACGCGGTGAAAATCTTCTGTTAAGAAGAGCAGTCACTCTAGGGATCCCGAGGGCTGGATGGACACTTTGATCAACCATTGGTCATCCACAAAATATCGTAAACGCGGCATTCTGGACACAGGACGTTTAACAGCCGCAGACGACATGCTGTTTCCCTTATAAAAGAAGGCTACCGGTGGGCGCCCGTCCTCGATCACTGTTCTCGCGTGTGTCGATCATGACAGTCAAGTGTTCAATTTCCTGCACGGTCTTCAATCTCGCCAATGAATTACATTGATCATAGACGTTTCAGTTTCTCAGAATTTCATCAGTCTTCTGTAGTTGCATTTCTGGGACTACCATCGATAACGGGAAAGCCTTTGGTAATCGACCTCTCTTCAAAACTTACTTTGCGGCTATCATTGGTACGTCCTTAACTCCTGTCACAGGCATATTGAGTAGATGTTATCCGTTGACCGAGGTTGCATTGAAAGAGGGGGGATAATCCCCAGTAAGCGAGCCTATTCTAATTGTATACTAACTGTTACACAATTGGGACCCATTGTCTGCCATTTCTATTATGCAGGATCTGCCCGGAATGACAGCTAAACCGTCGTGAACGCAGAGTTCCATGTCACAATGTACAGTACATTACGAACTTCACGCACTATTAATCTAGGGATTTTTTCGCAAATTACAGCAATAAAGTATCAGTTGATTTGCCACGGCTGAGAATCTGGGATATGGATTCTCCAAATTCATCGGCAACGAGAACGAGTTTGGAATCTTCCAGTACTGAAGCCCAGTACGTGAACGTAGCTTCGACCGTTTCCTTCCCGACGCAGATGTTGATAATAATGTCATACTATTCCCACTGTCAGTAGCTCGACTTCTCATGGAACGATGTTAATGACCTACCTCCGTCGCCTCATACGTCTCTACCTCTTTGAAACGAATTTCGGCCTCCCCGTTTTCAGTTGACAAAGGCTGTTCTACCGACATGCAGGTATTGAATAGCGGTTTTCCGAAATGCCTGGACTGTTGCAAAACATCTATTAGTGAGCAACATCCATTTCGCAGCCGGTTTCTGTTCTCTGCCTGGTTTCTCGCTAAGACATCGCTACACCTGTCTTCAATCGTGAATCGTAATCGACAAACAAGCACGTTGAAAAATGAGCCAATGATATTATGGATTTCCGGGATCGGAACGTCACGCCCAGATATAACCGTTCCAAAACACACGTCGTCCAACTGCGTGTATTTTCGCAATACCATACCCCAGGCAATCTGAAAAAGGTTGCTCTTGGTGACCCCCTTATCAAGGCAGAAGCGATTCAGCAAAGCTTTATCAGCAACTTCTCTACTCATGGTGCGAAGCCCCTTTTGACATCCCTTACTTTGGATTCGGGGAAACATGCAAGGTTGGATATCGACCATTTGGGGTTTCCAGTAGTCCATCTGGCTTTTGAAATCAGCGATATCGTAAAAGTATGCAACGGCGGATCTGTATAGCGGGGCTGGGGAGGAAGAGAGCTGTCCTCTGTACGCCTTTGACAGCTCTCGTAATATTATTAGGAGTGAAGTTGCATCTAGAAAAGCGTCATTTCCCTCGAGCTTGCAGAAAATACGACCGGATTCGGTTTTGCAGATGGTGAATTGATATGGAAGCGCACCGATGTCTCTGTTACTCAAGGAAGACTTGCGCAACAGATCCGTAACTTCGTTATCCGTACATGAGAGGATTTGGACTTTGATATTTGATGTCTTCCGTACAACGTGGGTCTTCTCCTGGCCGTTGGTTCCGCGACTAAACAAAATCGTTCTCAGGGCCGGGTGGCGCCGTACAACATCCTCCCATGCATTTCCTAGACGCACTGGCCACACAGCACACTGGGGGACTTTTGAAGTTACTTCCCATATGGTATAAGACTGGTATTCAAAGGCATTCAGCGACTGGGTGACAAGAAGCCCTTCATGCACCCGGGTGCATGGGTACGCATCTTCTATTTCGTCGTAAGCAATTCCCAGGTTAGCTTTGAGCCTGAATTCGAATTTATCTTCTTCAGCAGGTGACAAGGAAAGCAAAGCGAACCGGGCCATCTGTTGTTTCCTTTCACTAGGTGTGGATGGTGGTGTTAGCTCCATAGAAGGCTTTGCTTTCGATGCTATGAGTTTGACGGTTTTTGCGTCGAAAACATCCATAGCGGTCAGCGACAAGCCATCTTCTCTGCACAGAGTGACCAACTGTATTGCAGAGATCGAGTCACCGCCTAGTCTGAAGAAGTCATCGTCGATACCGACCTCGTCTGTTTCCACACCGATGACTCGTGCAATAATGTTTCTAAATTTTTCCTCGTGTTCCGACACCGGGCCCTGAGATTCATTGGGGCATGATATAATCGGTTGGAGGGAGCTTAAGTTTTTCTGAGAAACCGCGAATCGCAGGAGGTCTTTGTCGGGCTGGGCGGCAGCCGTCCGCGGTACATAATTGATTGGGAGACAGAGAATCGGCAACATACTCCAAGAGAGAGCTCTGTTCATATAATCCATCAGCTCACAAAGTTTGAGCTTGAACTTCTCCTCTGGAACAGCGAAGAGCGCTGCCTCTGTGTTTTGATGTCCCGAGTTCTCGCAAACAAAGACAGTGAGCCTCTCTTCACACAGATCTTTGGGGCAAACCATTTCAACGACCACTTGGTACTGTTTGCCTAGGTAGTTTTGTGCTTGGTACTCAGCGTCGCGCAAGAGACCGGACTCGTTCATCCGTTGCCCTATATTGGGAATTAAGCTCCCGATTCTTTGGGCTGGATTATCTGTAATACTGTGGAGGACATGGTCAAAGCGCTCCAGCATTATCTGCGTCTCATCGTGCTTCAAAACACAGCTATCAAAAACGGCAGTGATAGACAATGACCGTTCCCCGGAGAGTTCACACACCATTGTTAGCGGATGGGTGCTAAATTTCAGCTGTTCGGCGGAATTGTCCGGAGATTCCGTAAACAGGTTGGAAGAGACTGTAGTCTTCCGTGGCTGTATAACGAGCAAGGTTTGGAAATCACACGCTGCAGATGCTTCTTGTCCATAACTTCTGATTCGTCGCAATCCTGTCTGTTCGAACTGAATCAGTTTGGTTGCGTGCTCTTGCATTTCCCTGAGTGTTTCTTCGATGCTTAGGGCAGGGTGAAGTATAGTGCGAAGCGGAAACGTAGCTATGGTGGGTCCTGTCATTTGATAGATCCCAGGGACCGGAGCGCCGCGACCAGCCACAGTGACCCCGAAGACCACGTCATTGGTTTCCATATACCATGAAAGAAGGGTGGCGAACGCCAATCTAATCACTGTGGATGAAGTATAACTACCCCTTGGCCATTCGGAAATCACAATGTGCCGGGTGACGGTTCTGATGGACATTGGGCTGTACCCTACCGGGACGAGTGGACATGGAAATCCTATTGTTCGCAGCCCTTGGAACTCTGCACTCCAGAAATGACGCGCAAGCCCGGGATTCAAACGGTTGACATACTCTATAAATAGCGTGAAAGGCTGCGATGGTAAGTGTATTCCGTTATATGCATTTTCAGTGGCATCCAAGATACGCTGGTATGACCATCCATCAAACAGAGCATGATGAATTGTGAGGGTGAAAGTCAATGGTACTTCCTCGTTCCCTTCACCAGCAAGTGAAGTTGAAACTAGGGGTGCCCCGAGCGACATGAATTGTTCAGGAAATTCCAATTCATTTTCAATCAATTGACATTGTGGGCCCCCTTCGGAACTCACAACCTGGAATGCTTGAAGTGAATCTGCCAGAATAATTCTCGTCCGCAGAATGGGATGTCCATCGCAAACCTCTGCCCACGCTCTCTTAAACCGAGCCACATCGACGTGTCTTGCCATTTGAAAGTGGAAACTACATTGAAGTGAGCCAGGCGATCTTGCCGTGTATGCAATGAAAGACTCTTGCAAGGGCGTGCAAGGATATATGTCTTGAATGCTTTCAGGGCGGATGCAGCATTTGCTCGCTGCGCTCGAGATCATCGTCCCCTTTCCCATGGAGTTCAACAGGGAAAACGGCGGCGGTTGTTGTTGATCGTGGTTCGCTTGATCTGCTGCTATATTACGTGCCAAATTGGAAATCGATTGATCGGCGAACAGAGATTCCACCGTGATTTTGAGCCCCTGTTGACGTGCTGTTTCCACAAACCTGACTGCAGAGACAGAGTCTCCACCCAGTCTTAAAAAGTTATCATCCATTCCAACGGTGGTCAATGGCAGACCGAGAACTGTCGCAAGTAACTGTTGGACAAGCTCCTCAATAGGAGTTTCTGCCGGGCTGAGACCTCTATCCCCACTAGTAGCCATTCGGTAATCTCTCAGCTGGGTCTCTGGTAAATTTCCGACAGCGTTTTGCAACGCTCGCCGATTTACCTTTCCTGTTCGCGTCACAGGCATAGCAGCCAATGGGATGTATGCTGCAGGTACCATATATGTTGGGAGCGCTTTTTGCAAATGAACTTTCAAGCGCGCTACATCTTCGCGAAATTCTCTATCTGGGGCACATATGGTGACACTGGCGACTAATTCCGCTGTAAATACCGGCTGTTTGGCCACGAATAGAACCAAGGAAGACCTTCGTGTTTCGTGAGTTATTATTTCGGCGACAACCATTGCTTCTTTGAGGCATTGTTGTGAGATGTGTTCAATTTCTCCGAGCTCAACCCTTTGTCCATATACTTTAACTTGCGTGTCCTTTCGTCCAATGTAGACAATAGAGCCGTCAGAACTGTATCTTGCCAGATCTCCTGTTTTATAAAACCGGTGGTCTGAGCCCATGCCAAACTCTGATGCCCATTCGGGGCTGCTGATGAATGCAGCTGCGGTCTGCTCGGGCCTCTTGAGATATCCTCGAGAAACGATGGGGCCGCCGATTACAAGCTCTCCGATTGTCCCAATAGCTGCAAGGCAATTGTGATTATCCTTATCTACAATCCAACATGACCCGCCAAACGAGAACCCTATGTTCCCCGGCTCAGTCACGTGGGGTTGCACATTAGCAACAACGGTGCATTCCGCAGGCCCATAAGCGCATATCAAGTGCACTTTTTCGTGCCACAGAGCTATGTCCAATGATGTCATGGATTCCCCGCCTAAAATAAGAGTCTTCACTCTCGGCACATCTTCGGGCATTAACAGTTTGGCAACCGTTGGCGTGAGTTCTGCCCAATTGACATGTAAATCTCGAACTGCATTTTTCAGGTCATTCAGCCGTTGAAACTCGGAAGGGATACAGACGCACCCTCCGAGTATCAACGTAGTCAAACATTCATGAATACTGATATCGAAGGCATAAGATGCGAACTGGAGGACCCTGGATGAACTGTCGAGATTTTGAGCTTCACTGCTGGCGATTGCGTTAGAGCAGAATGAGGCATGCTCAATTACAATTCCTTTCGGCGTTCCTGTCGATCCTGACGTGTAGACTACATATGCAGGGTCGTGGGATTGTACTCGTGGCTGGTTTGGTGACGGATCCAACCCCCAAGAGCGAGTACAGTCACCAACTGCTATTGTTGTGCAGCTTAAGTGATGCTGTACTAGCCAATCGGCACAGATGATGACATCTGCTTCAACATCTTCACAGATATCCCGCAAGCGCTTTTCGGGATACGCAGAGTCCAACGCAACGAAGGCAGCACCGGCCTTAAGGACCCCTAACATTGCAACAACTGCCCATTTAGACTTTTCGAAAAGGAGAGGAACTATGGATCCCGATCCAACATCGAGGGCTGATAATCGTGCCTGGACCCTCCAAGACAGGGCGTCTAGGTCTTGGTAGGTCATGTCCCCATCCCAAGCACATACTGCTTGAGAATCGGGATGAAGCATACATTGCAAATGGAATAGTGCATGGATGCAACAATCGAGAGGGTACGTGTGTGCTCGGGTATTCCATGCAGATATTTGCTGCTTGTGATAATCACCCAATAGCGGCGACTCTGAAAGTGCCCGCGACGGGCTACATGAAAGACATCCGAGGATTGCACCCAGTGTGGCAATCACGTTACGAGCCGCGGGATGGCTCAAGATCGAAGTTGAATAGCGCATCGAAACTTGTGGTGCGAGTGCTGACGAGTTCACGATTACTGAAATATCCCCAATCTAAAATGGCACGATTGTTAATGGACTGTGAGCAACCATGTTGACAGTCAACATTATGGAATTTCTTACCATTGGGAGGCGATCGCCATCGTTCGAAATCCATCCTAGAGTATCAACGTCCTCCCACAGAAGGCAGGTATTGAAATGTTCGTGGCGACTACACTCCACCGTTGGCCATTCCCGAAGTTTCTGAAGACGGACGGAGTTGGAGATCGGAGAGCTTGCGTCTACCACTGCTACCACCTGGTCTATCACATTCCCCTTCAGATCTTCTCCGACGCCAAAAGTGACGGTGTCGGAGTCGGTGTATTTGTGAAGAAGTATAGACCACCCAAATTGAACTAGATCGAACAGGGGTGCGGTATTCTCTTTGGCCGCCTGTTTTGTGACGTATTCGAGGCAACCATGATCCAAATATACCAACTCAAATTGGCGACCTTCTAGGCCGAAGGCATCTAACTTGGGAAATATGCAACGACGTTCCTGCTTTCTGTGTTCGGACATTGCGCGCCCGGGGTTCTGACAAACAAAATTTACACGTATGATCTAAGAATTGTCGGTGTATGTCTTGAATCATAAAGGTTCTTTTAATCGGTCTTCACATTATTTCAAGGTATATATGGTCTATGTGGGGTGTCTGTATTGTGCAAACTTCAATTATATATTGAATCGAAGAGAAACTCCACCAGAAGCCTCATGCGTCAGCGAGATGTTGGAGCCTCCTATGTTTAGAGACAATGAATGGCATTCGACTATCCGGCTCCATATTGATCGGGGGGAATTGATTTGCTATCCTGTTCCATTCTACGGTTTTGTGTCCCTGTTTCCCTGTTTCTTTCCCTACCCGCCTCCAGGCTCTCCGAATTGATTCTACCTAGAGATAGGAATTTCACAGTGTGTCATTCCAATCGATGGCTTTTGCTTCTCATCTGAAGATCATATTTGCCATAATCGATGGGATGACCACTGATTGTCCTACCTGTAATCATATCAACCCAGCTCTAGGCAGACTTGAGTCCACATCCCAACCCTGGCCGAAGATGATTCCTCATCCCAAACGTGAGCCCACCATGCCGACCAGCTATTTCGTCTATTCTCTAGTGCCACAAAATAGCAATTGACCACATCTGAGATTCGTATACGCCCGAGCTTCCGGCAAGCAAGACAATTGAACATCTAGTCTGCGCAACCCACCTAGAAATTGTCTAAGGATATTGAGGAGACCCGGGAGAACGGTTGCTGGTCATTCTACATGCATTGTTGGAAAGACATGTGTTTTTACGGCTGGAGAGGGCATCGCTACGGATCTACCGAAGAAGGCTTGGCGAAGTTGCTACTGCGATAGTTACATCGAATGGAACAGAAACGAAACTTGCAGCCGTCAGCCAGCCATTCCAGCAACATGGATACCCAATATCAAGATTTCCTGTTAGGTGTAATCGATGCAGAGTGTCCAATGGATGCAAACAATCATTCAAGATGGTAGGCCACCTGGGGACCGCTTTAACAAATTCAGAAATGATGTTCTGAAGTGGGTAGTACTGGCATTGGAGCGCAGTTTCTAATCTCTAATTTGATTGAGTGCATAAGATCCCAAATCACAAAGATTCTGTCGTGAAATTTCCGTCTTGCGGCTTCATCCCTTCCTGAATATACTAAGATCCAGTATTTAACTGGGGAACCATCCCGGTTTACCCATCAATAAAATTCCAACGAGGACTTGCCGTTGAACTTCATATTTTGACCAGCTCCCGCAACACATGATGGCAACCGAAAACCCCTTGACTGGCGTGACTCTCCCTCAAGAAACTCTTCCCCAGCAATCGGATACAGCAGATTCGCAGTCATACCACTTGTTGAACAAGTGCTTCACTTTCCCCAATGTTGATCAAGAAGAATGGTGGAATCGAACGGGCCCAGTCTTGGGGAAACTGCTTTCGGACGCGAAATATGATGTCCAACACCAATTTCAATGCCTATGCTTTTATGCCCTGAACGTCATCCCCTTCCTTGGCCCGTTTAAGCTCTCACGAACCTCAGGAGGCTACGAGTCATCTATGGGATCACGCATCGGACCGTTTGAACTCAGCCAAAATTTCACCAAGGATCAATCCGTCATTCGAATGAACTTTGAAGCTACGAACCATGCTACAAATACCGGCCGCGACCAAACTAACAGAGTCGCCTTGGATGAAGCTGTTTCTAAATTCAAACTGTTACGCATTGGGATGAATGCAGATCTATACCACGCATTACGCAATTCGTTCCTGGTGACTGATGAAGAAGAGAAACTGGCCGCTAAAGAAATAGACCTTGCCAATTTCCCATGCAAGACTCAGCATAATATATCTTTGGATTTTAAAGACGGCAACGTGCTAGTGAAGTTGTATCTCTATCCGCGCCTGAAATCTATGATTACAGGCAAACCCCAAAAAGACATAGTACTAGATGCAATTCGACATGCAGCTGGTGGGGCATGCGATCATTCCTTGGAAATGATGCAGAACTTTCTCAAGACATTGCCTCCAACCATGGATATCGAGCTTCTTGCTTGCGACCTCATCGATCCTAAAAAGAGCCGGTTCAAGATATATATTTTCGACCTTCAAGTTGATTTTGAGAGTATTACACGGATCTGGACGCTCGGCGGACAACTTAACGATCCAGAAACATTGTATGGATTGTCATTACTCAAGGAGTTGTGGGAGGCTATGAATATTCCTGCGGGAACGCGCACGATGCCGGACCGAGTCAATAGAGAAGGAGACCCGCCTGACCGAGTCCCCCTATGCAGTAATTTCGAAATTTTTCCTGGAAAGAGATGCCCGCAGCCAAAGATTTACCTCCCAACTCTAGGTATTAGTGATAAGGCTATCGCCGATGGTCTCACCAACTTTTTTGAGAAACACGGATACACGGAGCTCGCAAAGTCCTACAGCTCTCAGGTATCCTCTTTAATCCCAATGTATATGTACGTCAATTCCGTTTAGCGGTATCCAAGGCCCCCTTCTTGCTGGATCGTTGCTAATCCGTTCATAGGCCTGGGTCCGAGATCGAAACCAGTACGGACTTTCAAGCGTGGGTATCGTTCGCTTACTCCGAGAAAACCGGCCCATACACTACAATATACTACCATTAAACAACTAAACCAGCTCTCGGGGACTATCCATGTGAAGAGTCTCCACGCAGATTTCTCAGCAGCTGCTGTGATATCTTCAATGTCCAGCACTCTGGGTCAATATTCACTCCTAGTTAGCATTCGGTATATTTTCTCGGCTTCCCCCAACCAACCAGCTGTGCTCTTGTGACATATACTTTAAATGTGCACATTAGGATAATCTATATTGGTAGACATCAGTCATTGCTCGTTTCTATTGTGTCTATCGATTTTTTCCAGTTAATATGTTGAACATGCCACCTGAATACATTTTGATCTTATGCAGGCCGTTGGTGAGATAGTCAATGCTAATTACGTCACACCAGGCCTAGTATCCCAGCCCTGACGCCTGTTTTTCTTCTTTTAACTAATTGCTGAACAAGAAGCGCAGCCCATTTGCTGTTGTCTTCGCTTCCCTCTTTTTGTCCGGAAATGTATCGTACATTACTTTACAGACTTAGCGTCTGATAATATATTAACCATTTTGATAATTCAAGAAGAGATATTTATCTAGAAAGGACAGATGAATCGCTACCAACTAGAAGCTGGGTTTCACAATGGTCAAGCTCTAGAGTAGAATGAGAGTCGGCATCGAGACGAATCAGGCTTCGCTACCTTTTGAGGTGCACAAATGTGATGGCTTGTGCATATGTATCTCTCTGGTGGTTAACTGGAAATGATAAATCGCTGACCTGTACCATCTTATAGAGCACGATACTCGATCATTGTAGTTGAATGGTTAATGATCCACAGTAGATTTAGGAAGTCTTTGAATCACCCGTAGAAGTGAAACTATAGTGCTGCTGTCTGAGATTTTTCACACCTTGGAACAAGTAGGCCATGTGATTTGATTACAGATGTTCTACAACTTTATGCAACCTTAGTAGATCTAAAACATTTAATCTAAAACCTCAGATATTCAGATGGAATAGCTGACTTCTATTTTCAAAAAGCAGCACATGTCAAATGTTCCACATATCAAAAAATATTTTAAAATATCCGGACAAAGCGGAAGTGAGAAGAGCACAGAGATATTTAGAAATTGACATCGAACGGAGGTACGTAAGAATTTACGTCGTATAAAAGGTCATTGTACGTTCCATCCAGTATATCCGGTGGTGCTCTAGTGCATTCTGAGCATCATATCCTACTCTTGAATGAACACCTTCTCCGCAAACAAGTGACACAGTTGCCCGGCTTTACACAACAGCAAGACTTTGTGGGAAGTTCTGTCCTTTCAATGAATATTTATATTAGCTCCCCGAAGCACTAAAACAATTGTTTCTCCTTATCATGAGCGAAGCGTGTAGGGGGGTCATGCCTTTCTCGCCTTGGGTAGATCAAAATCCAAGATTCTTCGGAAGTCCACGGGCGGTCTCCCTTAATTTCTTGTGCCGATGTTTCTACTGTGGTTTTGATTGTCCTGCCTCATCGACGATGCTTCAACGTCGACGTGGGGTAAATGAAGTAGATAGATCTGACATCTGTTACAACAATTTTGGTAGGCTGGTTGGAAACAATTGGATGCCTAAAACATGTACTTGAAATAGCCCATTTACACAAGCGGAGGTCTCCCTGAGCTTGACAACCCGGTTAGGGCAGTTGCTGACGGTATGCTAAGATAGGATTAATATAGGATGATCGTTGTTTCCAGGTCTTGCTTAGACTTCATGGACCAGGAAAACTTTATCAGCATATCACAATGCAGTCAATAAATGATCGGTGCTGTTGCTGTACAACTTCACCCGTGGTCAAGACACTCCAGACTCTCACCGACAATATATTCATCTCATGGCCATTTTTTTGCAATTCAACAAAGGCAGCTGTGGTCCAAAGCACTTGAAGGAGTTATTAACCGTGTGGTACGGAGTCCTCCCCTCTGCTCCACAATATGCATTGGACCATTGGCCTTTCTGTTCTCGCATCGGGCAGCGCGCATGTGATAATACCAAGGGTCTTCGATTTTACCCCAGACACTGCTCAACATGCCACCGATTTTGAAATAACTAAATGAAAATGTTTTCGTCGTTAGCCAACCCTTGACGGATATGGAATTCATAGTGATCAGACCCTTGGCTATGGAAGATCAGAGTTGGTTGTCCTTCTCAAAGATATGGCTGTCAAACATCATTGGGTCGAACAAGATATTTATCGATATCTAGGGTATTGAGACAGAATCAGCACATCAGAACCTCCAAAACAACTCTTTACCTTGCATTTATGGGAAATGGTGACTCACATACATATTTAGCACGGAATCAACCCTCCGGCTTTCGTGGTTGCGCGAAATTTCACACATATTTGCAAGTCTTCGTGATCGTTCTGCTAAGGAGGCAGATGTTGTTCAACTTTCTACAGAGCTATCTATTCGCTTTCACGACTTTATGGAGCCGTCTATTATGCCTCCGGGTACAGATATGGAGATCTCCCACGACAATGCATACGCAGTCCAGAGGGACATTGCCATGGTAGTGCTGTAGCCCATGACGCTTATGACTAGAAAGCGCTGTCAGTTTGACCCCTTCAATGACGTCAATCGCATATAGATCGCTAGATGGTCCTAGAAACGCTCAGGATATCATATAGCATAGAGGATAGATTGGATCAGAACGATCCGCTGTCCTGTAAGCGCAACACTGCGGTTTCGAAATGTGGAAGATATTGGCCGCTAATATTTCGACCCGTGCGCGGTTCTGCTGATGAATCGCTTGCTGCCAGTAAGTATAATAAATAATGTTGGTTTTTTGGAAAAATTCCGGAAGCTAAACGTATTGATAGTTAGTGCCTGACGACTCTATCGCTGAAAATGCATCGACTAAGCCCCCGCCGTTCTCCCTCTGTAAATGTTGATAAAACATTCGAGGATGGCTTGAGAGAAAGTCTCAAGGAAAAGATTTGAAGCTCGTCAGCCTCAAGAATATTGCTAAATGCACAAAACATTTTTGGCTAGGAGTTTTTATTGAGAAATGATAGACCAAACGTGTGTTTCTCAGAATGGGATTTTCTTTTTAGTCAAATTAATGTACAGTAAGTACCACCTCGCATCTGGAGTTGTAGAGGGGACAAAATATACTTTCTATTTAACTAGCTTCATGTTGCCATTAGCAACAGGTACTGGGAACTTTATTTCATCTACAGACTAAATAACGTGCTACATAACCATCAAAACTGTAACTAGTTAGTTACAGAGTATCATGACGAAGCATTATGTTTTATTCAGGGCATAAGCGACATGGCGCCCACGTGCAATGCAACTACCCCCCACTTCCAACTCGTCCTTATTCACTACGTAACCACGCACGCCCATGACAAACTATGTATGTATCTGAGCAGGCGAAGATAAACTAAGTAAAGAGTGGATATTGAAGACATTAAGTCCGAGTATCTAGCGAGATGAACTATCCCGACTATCCCACTCCCGTTACCATCCAACCTCTCAAATCTCACAGGCATACAATAATCCTACTCCATGGCCGAGGCGGCACCGGTACTAGTTTTGGCCGCGAGATACTCTCGACACCCTTCCCGCTTCCTCTGCTTCGCTCTCCTGATTCACCTTTCGGAATGCTCACCCTGAGAGACGCCTTCCCGCACGCAAAATTCGTCTTCCCGACTGCACCCCGGCGGTATCCTACACAGCATAAATACGATCTCATCAACCAATGGTTTGACCTATGGTGGTTGCCATCATCTTCGTCAGCTGCAGATGACAACGGCGACCGACCGTTTCCCCTTGAGCGAGACTCTGTGCAGAGCGATGGGCTGCGGGAGTCGACACTGTTCCTGCATGACTTGCTACAGCGCGAGGTTGAATTGGTGGAGGGTGGTGCGAAGAACGTTCTTTTGGGAGGGTTGAGTCAGGGATGCGCAACCAGTCTTGTGGCATGTCTGTTGTGGGACGGTGTTGGAGAAGGGAGAGAGAGAAGGGAGGCATTAGGTGCGCTTGTTGGGTTCTGTGGGAGATTGCCATTTGAGAGGCGGGTTAGAATTATTCTAGCTGGCGGTGCTGTGGATGGAGAGAAGGTCAATCAGCCTTCTGGCACAGACGGTGAAGTTGAGAACAAATCTAGGATTGGCAATGATACGGTTGGCAGTGCAGTCGATTTTTTCCGGAAGGAGCTTGAGATTCCGCTTCCTCCGGGGCTACCCTCATCCTCTCATGATTTTCCATTCCAGCGCACGCCACTCTTTCTCGGCCATGGAGTTGAAGATATGACTGTTCCTATCCGTCTAGGGAGGGAAGCAGTTACTTGCTTTGAGTCACTGGGAATGAATGTTTCGTGGAACGAGTATGAAGGGCTGGGTCACTGGTATACGGATAGTATGCTAAGTGACTTCGTGAAATTCGTGCGGGAGAAGACAGATTGGGAACTAGAATAGCTTGGTGAATCGGCAACGACCTCGCTTGCTTCATTCTCGTCCATCCACTCACTCTCGTGGAGTCCATATGGTTTCCCTCAAGCGACCCAAGCAGGGAAGAGACGATTTTAATCACGGAGGCACCTGTTTATGCTTAACTATCTTCTTTTCTTAACTTATGTAAAGAGCTGTATGGTACGTACTTAGGACAGGTAGCTTCGGCAGTGCCAGCTCATCCGGGAATTAGCAGATACGAGATAGCCCACGGAGCTTTTTCATCCCTTGAGGCTTTATGCAACCCTATAGGATGCGATTTCTTTTTTCTGAGATCCACACCACAAAAACGGATGTTTCAAAACAAGAATAAGATTTTTTTATAGAGGTAAGGTATGAGAGAAAATAAAGCGGGAAATTTTCATCATTCGTTTCAGCATATCCATGCTGGGCGTTGAGCCTGCAGAAGACTTCCCCCGTTGGAGAAGGGTACCCGATGGAGAAATACTTGCCATGCTCTTGGCGTGAAGGACGTCAAAATACATGCATATTAAAATCCTGCCTTATTTGCTTAGCAGCATGACGACGAATGTCTTCAGTTCGGCTTGCGATTCGTTGCCCCCAGCCGGCAAGAATTCTACCCAACGCTTGCGCCTGCGCCCGAGCCTGCACATTAACTATTGTTTATCACCTGCAGGCTGACTGCCAGCTGTCAATCAATGACGCGATTTCCCCCCCCCCTTTACACCCACCTCCCCGCAGTCTCACCATCATGACCTGCACGCATTGAGGCTTACTGTGATGGTATCATGAAGGCATAGATTGGAGGAGAGATAATCACTTCGATCGTCGCGTCAACACTAGACCACTGCCAAACGAAGCGAATTGCGAGAACGAGACCAGAGGGGTTGCGAAAGAGAGCAAATGGATAACGCAACGGCTAATCCAAACCTGCATATCGGGTACGAAGTTGTTGATGATTGATGGTGATGATAATGCAATATGAATATCACCCCGGATGGATAACTGCCTGAGAACGAGGAGTCTCAACATCCCTCCGCATGTTCCTGCACAATCATGCGTTTGGGAGCTCCCGTCACCGTGTGGCCACCCCGCCAAACTGACGGTCCAAAACCGACCGAGGCATCTTCTCACAAGGTTCTCTTGGTGCAATCGTCATTTCACCTTTTACAGACATCATCCACTTAACTTTCGCATTTATCGTCTTTGCCCGAAATCAAAGCAGAGGCAGTTAGTCCCACATGTAGAGTGAGAACTGAAAATCTAGGGTAACTGGCAGGAAGGAAGTATGGGAAACCAAGCAAGCTATTCCGAAGCTACGGGGTCTAGGGTCCTCGCCTAGCGCTTCGGTTTGTTCACCGCTCTTGTTGAGGAAGCAAGCAAATCTGCCAAGTAACTAATGGTAACGATATCGACAGCAACACATTTTAACCCCCCCTTGCGATGATACAAAAGAAGAATGGGCTCTCATCATGGATATGGAAACTGATAGGAAACCCAACTTATTTCGCTTCCGCCACATATGCCCAATAACGCGCAAGGACCCTCTCTCTTTAACAACACAGTGCCGGATGGATACCTTGAACAAGGGAATTTGCAGCTCAACGATTGGCTAGACAGGGGTGGTCATCAATGCGCAAAATTTAGAGTTTACGGTACCGCTCTTAACGAACCATTTGGCACAGCGAACGGCCCTTAGGGTTTGCTAGCCTTTGCCCTTTTGTTCTGCATCCTCAAATTTTTTTTTTTTTTCTTCCCTCGTGGTCTCGCTCATCTCTCAATCTTCCGTGGGTCAAACAGATAGAAACAATTGTATGAAAAGTAACAACATAACATGGCTCTCAAGATGGAATGGAAATAGTATTTATCGTCTGCTGTGGCCATCGCAACGTGCTATCGGCTTCGCTAAAATCATCTTCCGCTTTTGGGAAGCTTATCAACAATCGTCATGGCCGCGACTAAAGTGGAAAAACTAGAATGTCACGTCGATAAGGAGTGAATCCCTGCTGTACCAAAACAGTAGGTTCCGGTTCCTACGTAGTATGATCACCATGGCAATTGATCTATCGATATGTATTTTGATGCTCTTGCCTACCTCCATAGCCCTGTTGTCTGTTCCGTGTCTCAGCTTCATTCACAAGAAATAAATTTCACAGCTTTAGATATAACTACCCAATCAGCATCATGGTATAATTTCCTTGATAAAACTATTGTAAGCGTGACACCACTCTTGCTTCCAAGGCTTCAATTGAAGGTCTGATATTTACATCTGGCCAAGATACACAACCTTTTTATAGGTTTAGTGTATATTCACCCTTACATACAAAATTACTAGTGTCCTCAAGTAGATCTTCAAGTCAAGAAGAACTCTATGATGTAAAGTAAGTAAGTTATGTAACTTACTCTGTATAGTAGTACGATTCTCTACATCTCTAATCTGCATGATAATCTCATCCTCATATTCCCCTAACTGTAACTAAGAGTAAGTCTGAGATCTCTGAAGAAGCTCAGAAGTCAGAGCAGGCAAGTAAGACACGACATATAGATGGGTGCTGAGCACGGCTCACAGAAGCCAGCCATCTTATCATCTTTTCTACGGAGGATCCTCTCAAAAGTTTTGATTAGCACTAAGAATTTAAGGTGTAACTTTGTTACAGGATAAAGAATTCCCATCCCCTCTCTTAACCAGAGTTCTAAGGGGAGGTTTAATATCTGTGGCACCTGAATAACCAGCTACAGCTTAACTAAAGCTAGCCTAAATCCCAGGGGGCTGGAGAATTAAATGGTAACAGTATTACAGCATTCTTAGCGCTAATCAAAACTTTTGAGGATCCTCCGTAGTTAAATCTAGAGGATGCCCGGAGAGGCCCGGAGGCTGAAAAAAGCAAGCAAGCCACACTAAGTAGATGAGTGCCAGGTTGCAGCTGGCAGGAGTCAGCTGTCCTATGATCTTTTTGACATAGTTCGATGATTATTTATATAGTAAGAACTGCAGGTGCTGTAACTACTCTGTACAGACTTATAGCTGTGAAAGAGAGAGACTGAGAACTACATTCAAGACTAGTTACTTTGTATGTACGGAGTACTGTAATACCATGTACACACTAAATCTATAAAAAAGTAGTGTCTCTTGGCCGGGTGTAAATATCAATCCTTTCAATTGCTCAAATTCACAAAACATGCCTGAGCAAAGCTTCCTTCCAAGTTGAGCTTGCTTGATCTGTGCTGTGGCCCCGCTATTACTGCAGCTATTAGCCCTTCCAGCAGCCACTAAGTGTGCACTAAAAGTTGTCCTCGACCAACACACCCACACACACCCTGCCTGACCTGACCAGTGACTCGAGTCTCCACAGCGTTTGTTTGGGTCGGTTTCTTTTTTCCCGTGTTTGCTTTTCAAAGATAACAAAAAGAAAAAAAAAAAGGAAAAAAAAAGGGAAAAACAGTCATTGTTGCTGATCAAAGCCCTTAATTTTTTCCCGCTTCCTCATGTTGGCCCTTACGGCCGTTGCGGTTAGCGATCCCACTAGATCACGTGACCCACCACTATAATATGTTCCTGTAGATAGATCTATCAATACAACCTTCAACTATCCTACAGGTTATAGCCCGGATGGCACGTTTTTCTTTTTAGAACGTTGTACCAACACATTTTTGACACGGATAGTTCACCTTTTTTGGAAAGACTCTTACTCTTTATTAGAGATATTCCATTTTCCCTGAATCTGCCAGTCAGCGGATTCATATACTTTATTTTTTTTGAGAAAGCGCGTTCTCCATTGTGGAGGATATCACTTTTTATCTTTTTTTTTTACACACCTAGGAGAAGCAGAGTCACCTCGATATGAGTGATACGCCTGTTACTCCAGAGTCCAGCTCAAGGCCCAGGACCACACGCTCCACTAGACGACTCATTGATAGGATGACCACTCATTATGAGGAAGCTCCTGACTTGCAAGATGAGGCTGAGGTCAGTTTTCGCCAGAGTATGGAATTTGATGATGAGACAACGGAGGAACTTCAGGACAAAGGAAAGCAGAGTCAACCCCAACATCCATCTGCAGAATCTGTTCATTCCAACCCATCGAATCCTCCACCGTCCCCCACCCCCGGAATGCCGACTTTTAATGGTGATCCGAATCAACCTATCTATTGCACCGCAGGCAATCTTATGGATCTTATGCAGATGATGCTACGGAACCAGATGGCTGCGGCTGAAACCACTCAACATCTCACTACACCTGCACAAAGAGACACCACGAGGGATGAGTTGCGGGAATACCAGAAGGAAGTCAAATATGCACTAGACACCAAATCAGTGACCACATTTGATGGCTCTAATTATGAAGCCTGGCGTGTCGGTATGTTGGCTGATGCGGAAGTTATTGGCGGAACCGACATCCTATTGAGGACCCAACGAGAATCCCCTTTTACACGTCATATCGACTCCGAGAAGTGGAGGATCCGTTCCAAGTCTCTATATAGGCGTATGCTATCGAGTCTTGTTGGAAACGTTCGAACTACTATTGGAACCTTGGAAGCTGACAATGCTGCGGCCCTGTGGGACAAGATCAATGTGGAATATGCGATATCACTGGCAGAGGAACGAGTTAATGTCTTCAAGGAATTGACAAAATTACAAGTCAAGGAGAATGATTATCTTACTTTCCAGAGACGTTTCCGCTATCTTGTTGCCCGTCACAAGGAGCTCTGTCAGAGCACTGAGGATATATACCATGATCTCTTCCTCAACAATCTACAAGATTATCAAAGACCGTTTGTCAAGACACGTTTGGATGAGTTTTTCTCCACTGGCCAGGGACCCATTATCAACATTGATATTGATGATTTGATGAAGCAACTGACCAATCGTACATCCAAGAAGATCACCACCGAGCGGAAAAAGCAGCCTCAGGCTGATTCTGTGACTGCGAAAAAGGACAAGGACAAAGATAAGGACAAAGATGAGGACAAAAGCACACCTGTATGGAAGTGCACCCACTGCAGAAGATATGGACATACTGTTGACAGGTGTTTCATCTTACACCCTGATAAAAAGAGAAAGAAGGATGACAAGAAGGATGACAAGAAGGAAGAGAAGAAGGATGACTTGATGAGTTCTCAACCAGCAGCAAATGCAGCAATTACGAAGGTTGAGTCCTATTCCTCTTCCACAGTCACTGGAAAACCATCCTCTAGATCTTGGTATTTGGACACATGTGCAAGCCTGAATATGACGGGTGAGCTTCATTCTTTCTCAAACATCAAACCTTTTAATGGTAACATCTCTGTCGATTCTGCCACTGGGGGAACTGGGTTTGTTAAGAAGATTGGGACTGTCACCTTGGAGGTTGAGGGTGGTGATGTTAACTTGCAGGATGTTCACTATATTCCTAATATTACAGTTAACCTGCTCTCATTTGCGAAGCTTGAAGATCAGGGATTCCGATTTACATTGTCTTCCACTATTCCCTCTTTTTTCATTTGCAGAGCCCCGAACGGTGTTATTTTCCATGCAGTCCGGACCGCTCAGAACAACATATATAAGGTCGACGAACGGGAGTCCAATGAGGATCCCAATCATCCGAACAGGGCAGTCAAGTATATTGCGATGATGCCCCACGAGTACGATTTTGATCGAAAAGTTGATTTTCCTGTGGCTGCTGCCACTACTGTTAATAATGTCGATTCTGCGGACACGAATACAGGTCTCAAGACACAGACATCAAAGATATCAAAGACTCTTTTGGATTGGCATTACGACCTCGGTCACATCCACGCTGGTGCTATAATTGCTATGGCCAAGGATCCCCATACTGGAGTCACAATTAAGGGTCCTAAGACTAAGTTCTTTTGCGAGGAATGTGTCAAGGCTGGTATGACGCGAGATTATTCGAAAACACCGATGCCTAGATCTATCCGACCCATTGAGAAGGTCCATATTGACCTTGCAGGTGGCGGACGTACATTGGAAGACCTCTCTGACCACCCCTTAGAGTCCCGCCAGGGGACCAAATACTGGATGCTCATCACCTGTGATGCAACTCGCTACCGTTGGGTATATTTTTTGAAGTCCAAGGATGAAGCTGTTCAATACTTTGAGTTGTGGCTCAGATTCATGGGTAATCTCGGGTATACAGCCCCTGCTTTTCTACGGACCGATATTGATGGTGTTTTCCGATCCACACGTATGCACACAGTTATGGATTCATATGGTATCAAATGGGAACCAACGGCACCACATTCGCCACATCAGGATGGTGTTTCCGAACGTGGAATCCGCACTATCATGGGACGGGTTAGAGCTGCTCTTTTGAAAGGTAATCTTCCTAAGAAGTTCTGGGCAGATGTTCTAGAGACAGTGGTTGCAATAACCAATAATACTCCCACATCTACAGTCCTTTACAACTCGAAATTTTGGCCCTCTACTGCAGAGATCCCTGTGGTTCCAAGTCCACATAAGATTCCTTGGTGTGCACTTACGAATACCCCGCCGAATGTAAGGCATTTTCGCCGATTGGGTGCAGAGGTTTTTGTTCACTTGCATGGATCCCAGCGGCCCGCGGATAAGCTTTCTCCACGTGCCGATTCCTATCGTATCATTGGATTCAGTGGCACATCGATATATCGCCTATGGCATCCCGAATCTGACAAGATTATTGCCAGTAGTGATGTGAGGTTCCCGATCGCCGAAAAACCGGTTGTCACATCTGTGGCACCCATTAATAATGCCGGCGAACCGGAACCTGATATTCATCTGGTTGATGATGAAGATGCTCCCGACATTGATGATCCGAATTCTACATGGTTGCGGCCCGCGAAATCGCTGGCTACTTACACTCCAAGCCCCATTACAGGCAACCTCCCGAAGTCCTACAAGGATGCCACATCTCGGCCAGGGGGGGTAGGAGATTATTGGAAGAAGTCCATGCAACGCGAGATTACCGACCTGGAGAGACGCAATACATGGAGTTTGATCCCTAGATCTGACGTCCCGAGGGGTGAACCGATTGCTCCGGGCCGTTGGGTGTTCCTTGAGAAAGATAGGCCCGCGGACCCGAATGCCGATCCTGATGGTATTCTTAGAAAATCGCGTTGGGTGATTTGTGGTAACTGGCTTAAGAAGGGTTCTAGAGAAGAGACCTACGCTCCTGTCATCACTGATACTGCTAATCGTATTCTTTTTGCAATAGCAGCACTACGCGGTTGGACACTCCGTCAAGTGGATATAGTGATGGCATATCTTCATGGGCGCCTCACTAAGAAGGTCTATATGAGGCAACCCACCGGATTTGAGGCAGGTTCGCCGAAAACGCTTGTCTGCGCGGTTGAGGGTAGTTTATACGGCCTGGACCCTGCGGCGAAGATCTGGTATGATTACTTGACAGCTCTGTTGAGCGATCTTGGATTTACAGTCAGCGCCCATGATCCGGCACTCTGGTATCATACATCCAGACGTCACCTCTATATGACGATCTACGTTGACGATCTCAACATCATATCCGAGGCTCCTGAGAATGCTGATTGGCTAGTGAGTATGCTCAGTGAGAAATTGGAAGTCAAGGATCTACGCCAGCCAACCAAGTATTTGGGTATGGAGGTCAATTGTTCAGACAAGGGAATTGGTTTGACACATTGTCAATATATCAAGTGCCTTGTTGAAGATTTCTACCTTGATGATGCAGCTGTCGCCAGGACACCTATGGAGGATGGATTTCGCATTGACGATTCCCCTATACCTGAGAAAGAGGCTGGTTTCACAATTCAGCGATACCAACATGGTGTGGGTTGCTTGCAATATCTCGCAGTCAAAACACGTCCTGATATCGCTCGCGCTGCCTCACTACTCGCTCAACGGAACGTTGATCCAACACCTCAATGTTGGAAGGCCCTATTACACGTCATACGTTATTTGAAAGGGACCATGGATCTGGGCATTTTCTACGGACGCGGCCCGTATGAGGGGTCCGTTCCTACCGATCTTTCCATTACCCCTGATTTCCCCGATGATTCCTACCTACCCTTCGGCTACTCGGATTCCGATTGGGCCGGCCCCTTGAATGGTGATAGGAAATCAACATCCGGCTACGTTTTTAAGCTCGCAGGCGGCCCGATTTCATGGCGTTCGGCGAAGCAACCTTGTGTATCTCTAAGTTCCAATGAGGCCGAATATGTGGCTCTTAGTGAGGCGGTCCGCGAGGCAACATGGATCCGGAACCTCATGATTGAGCTTGGCTTCATCACTACATCTCCGATACGGATCCTCGCCGATAATAAGGGTGCCATAGATCTCACAAAGGTGGCAGCCATTACGGCCCGAAGCAAACACATTGACACGCGTTTCCATTTTTCGCGTTGGCAGTTGAATCAGGGGGTCATTGATTTAGAATACGTTCCCACCGCTCAGATGGCGGCGGATGGACTCACTAAACCCCTAGGCAATGTGGCATTTGCGCGATTCATGGTTTTGCTAGGTCTTACAGGCATAAAAGTTGGGAATGTTTAATTTTACATTTGTATTTGGTTTTGACAGACTATCTTGGTGGTTTGGGTGTTTTTGTATGTGATTCTTGTTATCTCGAGGGGGGGTGTTGGCCCTTACGGCCGTTGCGGTTAGCGATCCCACTAGATCACGTGACCCACCACTATAATATGTTCCTGTAGATAGATCTATCAATACAACCTTCAACTATCCTACACCTCATCCCTCTTTTACTGCTTACTTCTTCTTCTCCGTCTCTGTTCACCTTCCCCTCATCCCTCCCCCGCCCACAGTCTCAAGAACGAAACATCCCACCAACTGCCGTTGGTGTTCCAACTGGAAAAAAAAAAGAATACATACAATTCATCCCCTCTCCCATTCCTCTCTTCTCTGTGGTTTTTCCTTGTGTTTTTCCTACCAAACTTACCTGTTTGTCTATTGAGTGGTTTTTTTTTTTTCCATCTTGGTTACCTTATCTTCTGTACAGGTTTCTTGGTGGCATTGCTCTTTGTATTCCCTGTAACATTAAGATCGATTGCCGCTGTACAGAATATCCGTTATACGTCGTCGTGCAAAAAACCTGTTCATCCTTTGCCAGCCTATCTATACCCGACCGAAACGAACGAAAGCCTTGTGATATCCGAAACCTGCTGCTTGTTTTTTTTGTTCTGCTGCTCTTTCTCTTTGGAACCGTCACGACCACTAACGACTTAACGAACCACCCATTATGGCAGATGATACCCGGAGTACTATCAATGTTGCCATTCGCCGGTCGAGCAAGTCTCCCGCCATTTTCCTTGCTGCCTCCTTCACTGAGCCCGCTTGGGAACCGGTTGAGCTCGATGTGAAGCCTCTCCCTCCATCAGCAAGTCAGGATACTACTGAGCAGACCAATGGCCATGTTCCAGACACCCAATACGAATTCTCAAAGTCATTCGAGGTGGCACTAGGCAAGCACCATTATAAATTTCGGGAAGGATTGGAGGGCGCCTGGTTCTATGACAAGGATGTCGAAAGTGGTAAGCAATCAGCTCGAGTGGTTTAACGAAACTTACTATGACACATGCTGATTTATAACGCTTGTAGCTGTGGACAATGAGGGGAACGAAAACAACGTTCTGGTAGTGGAACCCGTCACAGCTACCAAGAAGCCCACCGATTCTCCTGAGAAGGAGGATGCAGAGGAGGTATCTAATGAAGGTGTTGCTCCAGATGCAGGGAAAGCTGAGGAGGTGGAATTAGCTGAGGGGGAAAACATTTCTGATGCTAAGAAACCCAATGACGCATCCGTTGAACCATCCCCTAGTATTGCTGTCGTGGGAGAAGATGTGAAGGACATTAAAGACGACGAAGCGCCGGCTGAATCTTTAGGGAAACTGGAAATAGTTGGCAATAAACCTGACGATGAACCCTCCCTTGCCGATACCACCATAAAACCCGATGTACCGAAAACTGATGCCTCCGAAACTCCCACGACCGAGAACGTAGCACCAGAAAAGGTGGTGGCGGATCATGGCCAACCGACAACACCAGCTCAAGATACAGAGATCGTCGATGATTCCCCAACTACTGCAAAAATCGATGGGTCAAGAGCTGAAACTTCACCGAAACCTGTCCTAGAGGTTTGCGAAGCCCCTGTCGAAAAGCCACACGAGCCTGTAACTGATCCCACATCTGAACCCGAGGTCAATGAGAAGTCAATACTTGAGAATGAGCCTGAGCACCCGCAAATGGAGAATAACGGAGGTCAAGCTACTGAACCCGCAGAGAAGGATGGCCCCACAGCCTCGGATGCTGACACCACTGCGGAACCCATGGAAACGGAGCTAGTAGCCGATAAAGGTACCGGTAGCGATGACCCTTCACCAGCACCTGAACCCACCGAAACGCCTGAACCTACATTGCAGGAAGTGGTGACCGAATCTGCAGTTGAGGAGAATGCTCCAGAGGTAGAAAAGCCTCTTGCGATTGCCAAAGACGAACCTGCTAAGGAGAATAGCCAACAAACAGAGGCTACATCGGATATTGAGCCTCAAGAGGCAGAACAGAAAACCGTCGAACCGTCTGTCGAACCAGACATGTCAACGAGTGATGAGGTTCCTGATTCGGCTCTACCCCCTGCGAAAGAGCCGGAAGAACCAATGGAACCTGTTCCTACCGAACCTGCCCAGTCTGTCGAACCCTCCACCACCGTTGACACCCCTGCCGACCCCGAACCATCCCACGCCGAGGTCGTAGTAGCGGAGGAAATACCTTTGATGAATGGAGACGACAAGAAAGAAATGGCAGACGACGAACAAGTGGAGGACAAACCCTCAATCCAACAACTTCCAGAGACAACATCAAAGGCGGGCATTGCTGAGCCGGATACCACACCTGATACCATTTCTGAAAACAAGACCGAGGAGCCAGTTGTGCCAGCCCCCGTGGAAACAACATCTCCGGAATCCGAGCAATTGGCCTCGAAAGAGGAGGACTCTCAGGCTGAGAACATTGCCGATGGTGCTGAGTCACAGGAAGCTCAAGCTGACAAGGGGGAAATGGTTGAGACAGGCGAAACAACTGTGGAAGTTGCAGAGCCAATTGCCGAGGCAGCTGCGGATGACGTCATCCCGACCCAACCAACCGAAGATAGCGCGGACCTGGAACAACAAAAGGCCGAAGAACCGCTGTCCCTTGCGACTGACGTTCCTAAGGAATCAAAATCAGAGTCATCCAAACCTGTGATTGAAGATGTAGCTGCAAAATCCGTCGACGATGGCACTGGTGATACTCCCATCATTGAGGAAGCTTCAGCTGCAGAGCCTGCCACTGCCTATCCTGATACCCCGGTGGTCTCTGAGGCTACACCTGGGCAGGAGGTTACTAGTACCCCTGAAGTTCCAGTGACCACTGAGACAGAGGAGCCACAAGCATCCAAACCCGAAGAGGCTGTCATTCTGGAACCAGAATCAGTCGAGAAACAGGATGATTCATCTAAGCCTGAAGAGTTGGATGCTGCTGTAGTCGCTGATGAATCGGTGGCTCCTAAACCTGCCGAGGAGCCAGTAGTGACAGAACCTCAGGACGATATCGTTGCGGAACCCGAACCAGCATCCCAATCAGATGCTTCATCAACTGCAGAGCCTGACACGCCAGTGGCAATTAAGGAGCCTGAGGCTCCCGAACCCGCTGAGGATACAGTGCCTGAGACAGAGGTTGACTCTGGCGAAAAGCCAGTTGAACCAGTTGCTCCTGTAGAGACTCCAGCTGCCGTGACTGATGAACCAGAAACCTCTGAACCAGCTGTGGATGTAGCAGAAGTAGAATCCTCTGCGCCGGTGCCTGAAACTGAAGTGGTCGACGACCACACTCCAGAGAAACTAGTGGAGCAGGAAGCTTCTAAGTCTATCGACAATGCGGATCCAACAGAGGATTCCACACCCGATGTTGCTCCTATCGTTGCCGGTGAATCTTCTACTGTTGAAGAACAAACAGCCACTGAGCTTTCGGAAGATCCTGAGCCCAAGCCTGCTGATCCTGCCCAAGGCGAGCCCCCTACTATTGATGTAGCTGAAGCAGGAGTGCAGCCAACAGAACCCGAGACCTCGAAACCCATGGATGACCTAGTTCTGGAACCCGAGCCCGCTTTACAGACGACCAGTTCTGGTGGCCTCAATGCTCCAGTAGAAACAGCACAGCCCGACAAAACAAAAGCTAGCGATGATACTGTCTCTGACCCCGCTGAACTTGCCGAACCTGCCAAGCCTGCCGAACCTGTCGAACCTGCTGAGCCTGAACTAACGACCCCCGAAGCTCCTGAGGCCTCAGTGAAAACAATGGAGTCTGAAACAGTGCAGCCTGTCTACGATGTTGCCTCTGAGGCAGCAGATATTGCTGAACCTGCTGAACCTGCTGATGCCGAGCCGGTAACAGAAACTGAAACCGTCGAAACCCCCGATGCCCCGGAGGATCCGAAGGAGCCCGAAGTCTTGGAACCCGCCGAAGATGCCACAGCAGAACAGGAACCTGAACCTGTCGCTGCGACTGCAACTCTAGACACCGCCCAGGCCCCGGAGGAGCCACCACACACTGAAACTTCGGTTAATGCTGACGATACTGCAACTCAACCTGCTAAATCCGAGCCTGAACTTGCTTCTGGGGCGTCCGTCTCTGGAATTGCTGAAGCCCCAGCAGAATCAGTAAAACCAGAAGCCTCAGAAGCCATTAACAATGTTGTTACCGAACCGGAGCCGATTGCGGAGGCCACATCATTGGATGCTCCTGAAGTTTCAGCAGAACCGACAGCACCCGAGGCCTTGCTAGTTGCCGATGAGGCTATTGTCGAACCCACAGCTGAAACAGAGGTAGATTCAACTGCTCCCGACTCTCAGAAAACTGTAGAAGCGGCTGCGGTAGAACTTGAATCTACAGCGTCTGAAGAGGAACAGGAAGTGATCGAATCAGAAGATAATCCTATTGCTCCTACTCCTGAAACCACACCGGTGGATGCTCCCAATGCATCTGAGACCTCTGTTGCTCCTGCTGTACCAGAAGAGGCGGAAGCGGACATTACTACCAGCACTCCGCTTGAGTCTAACGTGCCTGAAGAAGTTACTCCTGTTGCCGAGGAAAATGTCGACACACCTGCTAGTGCACAGGAACCAGAGACATTAGAAGCCCGTGAGGCTGATGTCACCAATCCCGCGTCGGAGCCTACTACTATTGATGATTCAAAGGCCGCAGAGGCTCTTGCTCCAGCCCAAGAGCCTGAGGAAACTCCTGAGATTCCCACACCCACGGAGGGACCTGAAGCCTCGAAAGCTACCGATGATGCCGTCCCTGACAATGCGGGAGAAGAGGTGGCTACAAATGACAATCTCGCCGATTCAAAAAATGCGCAGCCAGATACAGTTACTCCAGAGCTACCAGTGACTGAAGAACGCGTTGAGGATGTTGCTAAACCTGTCATCGCAGACGAACCTATCTCTGACCCCGAACCGATCGCAGCGGAGCAACCAGACGGTCCGACTCCCGACGAACCCGAAGTTGCCCCTGCTGAAGCTGCTGCCGCTGTGACCGAGCCAGAAACGAACGAGCCAAATGAAGTGACTGAAACTGCTGTGGAACCCGAGAATGTGGAGCAGGAGGCGGTAGAAAGTGAACAACCTGCCGTAACTTCCGCTACGCCCTCTGAGCTACCTCAACAGGCAGATGCTCTTTCTGAAATTGCTCATGACATTCCGGAGCCAACAGCCGAAAAATCAAGCACTGATCCCGAAATCACGCCATCCGCTGAACTAGTTTCCGAAACCATCCTCGCCAGCGAACCAGTCACTGAACATGGGCCGGAAGTTGTCGCTGAACCTACCACTGCTGTTGCTGTAGCAACCGAGACAGATGCTCCTGCTTCTAAAGATCTTGAAGTTCCAGAAAAATCTGAACACGTCGAAATATCCTCTGTTAAACCTGCTGGGAAAGAGGATGGTCTTGAGCCTCCTACGGGAACTGCTGCCCTTGGACAGTCTGCTGCTGAGATAGTGGCTGACGAGCTAGAAGAATCTTCCAAATCAAAGGACGCGCCCGCTGCGCCTTCGCCCGATGAAGTAAGGGAGCCGGAATCTCAGGAACCCGAAGTTCCAAAGGAAATCGCGGTCGAAATTGTGCAGCCAGCTTCGCTAAATACTTCTGATTATCCGCTCATCGAAACGCCCATAGAAGGTTCTACGAGTGAGCCAGTCATGGCTGATGACAACCAGGCGCCCGTCAAGGAGGCGCCCCCCGAGACACAGGCTAAACCTGAGCTGGAGGTCGCCGATGCCCCAAGTGAAGAACCACGCGTTGAGGTAAACGGTATCACATCCAAAACACCACTGGAAGATGTACCACAGGAGCCTGTAGAGGAACCGGCAGCGGCGAAGGTGGCAGCAGCAGCCCTAGCAACTGCGGTTGTTGGGGCTGGCGTCACCCAACTAGTTTCAAATTCCAAAGAACCTGTAGCTGACAAAGATATTTCGTCGCTAATCGGAGAAGCTCCGGCAGAAGTAGTAGCCTCTGCTGTGGAAGCACCATCATCGAGTGTTCCGGAAGCAACTCCTTCGGACAAGGATATGCCTAGCGCCAAGGGCGACACAGACAAGGCAGTGGTCAACGGCAACAAGCCCGCACCGGTTCCAGAAGCAGACGTGGATGCAGCTGAGAGAGGTTTTACTCCCGCCAAAGCGCAGGAAGAACCATTAGCTAAGGCAACAGAGCCTGTCGAGCCAGCCAAACAATCTGTAGCAGAACGTTCCACGAAGAAACCTGACGTTGAAGCTCCTGTGCCAACTGCCGCTAGCGAAGCTGAGCCAATTCCTTTGGAGTCGACTGAACCCGAACCAGCCTCCAAGCCAAGTGAGTCTGCCACAGCAGATCCGACGACTACGACTACGGAACTATCACCAGCGCTTGCTGCAACGAAGCCAGCAGGATCAGGAGGAACTGACGGGTCGCGCCCCCCAACAGCGGGAGAGCTGTCCGCCACATCGATCACAATCCACAAGAGAGAAAACTTCTTCAAAGCACTCTGGCACGCGATTTTCACTAGTTTCTTCGGCGGCTTCTTTTCAGTTTTCCGCCGCGGCCGTCGCGATACCCCCCGCCAGTAAGAGAAATATTTTCTAGGAATTCTTTTCTTCGGTTTCCTATTTTTTCTCTTTTCCCATTGGTTTCTTTTGGTGTGATACATACCCCCGGCCACTAGCCCCTTCACCAGTCATCATCCTCTCCGCTCCGCCTATCCCTCTAATACTTTTATCTTCCCTCCCCCCTCCCCTCCATTTCCTATGTGAATTTCTCTTTATTTCCTATGTGTGTACCTATTATTCCGTTTTATCTACTTGTAACCTGACCTGATTCAATTTGATATCCATTTTCATTTTTTCTTCGAATCCAACATTTGGTCATGCTGACCAGCTTCAGGACACTCTTGGTCACTGTCACTGTCACGATTGTTCCTACTCTCATCGCGATCCTCTTAGCGTTCTACTGGCGTGCATTATCCTCCTATATCGCCGAGTATCTTTTGAGCGTTTCATCATCTTCACTCATCTAATTTGAATTTGGCTCGTCACAATTTTTTTTGATTTGGGGTGCACGCCAATTTGGTTCCATATAACTAGAGTGGTGAAACGCTTTTTGAACGTTTCGTTGACGACTTCGCTGCATATTATTATAAATTTGTTGTCCGCATTTTGGCGCTCTTATTTGCGCAGCTCTTGCTTCGACATATTTTGGCGATTAAGAGCTTGAATTTGCTATTATGCATACCCTAGTCCTTCTACACTGTTGTCTATATGATGAACATGATAAGTGTGATGTTTGTCTTATTTCGATCCCTGCAAATTGTGTCGTTCACCCTTGTGTGGAATGTCAGCAAACATGCCTGCGTACTGAATGCCTTGAATCCCACTACGAGGACAAATAATCGCTCTTACCCTCGCCCTTCCAACGAGATTGTCCAACAACCCGTTCATCGTTCCTCGTCAGATATATTCTCAAATGAGATTTGTTTAGGTTTGCATGCGTATTTAATTTTGGGGCGCGGCGAGCCGACTTCCGAAAGAGTCCTTGAGGGATAGCATGATCCTTATTATAGTGATACGCCGCTACGTTGAGGCCTCATCCCTCGGCCTCCTATACGTCCCGTATGTTTCAGCAATCTAAGTATTTTGGAAACAGAAATCTCACAATATGTTTCACCCATTTTTTGGTTTGTTTCTTGGACACTCCATTGTGTTTTCTATATGATTATGCCTATAACAACTCCATTTCACCACTAAAAGGCTGGGACATGGCCCCTGCTACAACTACGTCTTAACAGCTTCGATCTTTCCGTTTATTTACTCTACGCCTCATTATCTGTCGTGTATACCATCAGGCCATATTCTTCTGACCTTAGCAGACACACTAGACGCCAACCCCAGTTCTCCTTTGATACGCGAATGCACTTGGCTTCGACATGTACAAACTAATGGTTGGCATTAGTACCCTATCGCTGGGAGTTTCTGAGTGAAAGGATAGAGTAAAGGCATGCACAAAGGCAAGGGAACAATCAAGATCATTGCTGGTTGATTCTGACTCATACTTTTACCCTGACCTGCAAGCTAGAAACAAAGCAAAGGGCCACTGAACAAGGAACAAGGCATACCCCGAAAGAGGTATAGAAATAGGGTAAAGAATCCCTCAAGGTAGGTTCCTGTCTGTTGAGTTAACAGGAACACCTCGCTTAAATAGCACTAAGAGTCTTACTGTTCAGCACAGATCATTTTCTCTTACCCCTATCACCCCTGAGCTTGCTTTCACAAATAACTTCATCCTTTGACATATTATAGCTCTGGTTAAATAAATTGGCTTACTACTATCTCAGATCACAGACTCAGATTAAGAATAACATCCTGAACATAAGGACCATCACAAGCTGTTAATATTGAAGACCTTTCATAACTTGTGAGTGCTTTTCTCCTCTTGATATGCTTCCCCCTGAGCTTCTATCTCTGCATTGAACTTCCACCCAAATCTATACATCCCCTCCGCAAAGCAATCAACATCATAAATGGAAGCAGACATCACATTCAGCCACATCCCCTCTCTTTATTGGACCCTGACCCTCAGCTTTGAGACATTTGGCTACCCTCCTAAGCTGTCAGAACCCTCTTTCATTTAACTACCATGCATATTGACACTTGATTTACCATTTGCAGTTCCCTATACATCTCTGCGTGGCTTATCTTCTCCAACTGCACTCTTAAACGCCTTTTGTACATCCGTTAGCTTATCCGCTCATCTTTAGAAGTAATATCGTCATTTTTGTCAGGTTCCACTTACCTACACAATACCCATATCCCACCACACCATTACTGTTTCTTAGGCAGAAGAATTCGTGGGCCCATACGTCCTTTTCGGTGTCAGACTTTGAATGGCGGATCAACAACCGCACCAAATTTGAATCACTATACAAGAGCCGCTAGGAACGACCAGCCGCCCAACGATGGCCCCACGATTTAAGAGAGGCTCTATTTCGAAGTCGAAACAGGGACAGAGTAAGACCCAGAGAGGCGATGTTGCTGGCTCGAAGCATGGAACGGCGGCCAAATTTCCCCAACCATGCGCGTATTCGCCGGCGAGCAATCTTGGAAATGCTGAGCCCACGCCACCATCACCATCACCACCAGGAAGAAGCCCACTAGGCGTTATACCAGGAGGGGGTACCTTGGAAGCGGCTGAAGAGCCCAAATTATATTACCCCAAGGAGAAGGAAGCCACAGACAGAGGACCCGACTCAGCGCCGCTTCTGCCTAGAGGTTCCTCCTTGTCTGAGGTGACATGGCAACCCTTTCGAGCGGTGAGAAAGGTGAGCTCCACGCCCAGGCTCCGAGATGATGAAATTAGTTTCGGCCGGAATCGCGCCGCCGCTCGGCAAAATTCTTCTTGTGCGTCTAGTGTAGGGTCAGCGGAAACCCGTCAAGAAGATTATTGCCAGACCATTCCTAAATTAGAGGGAATTATCCTAGGATCCCCTGACTTAAGCCTTACCAGCAAAGGAACATGCGGCACGAGAGGCAGTGGCAAAGTAATTGTACCTGAGAGGAAAGTTTCCAGTATTCAGGGGTCAATCGAAATTGGAGATGTTGAGGAGTGTAGCAGCATAGTGACTCCTAAGCGAAGTCTAAGTGAATACAACACTGAGGTCTCGTTGCCCGGCCAAAACCTTCAGCTTTCGTCACTCCAGCTACCCCCTCGCCCACCCACGCCAATGGAGTTTAGACAACGTTCACTGTCCCAGGGAGCCAGCTCTCAAAGTTCTTTCTTCTCCCGTGGCAGAAGCATCATCAGAGCCAGAGGTGGAAGAAACCCCCGCAGGAGATCAGCCAAGCGTGATATATCAAGAGGTCAGAGGGTGCCTTTGTTTGTCCCACCTTCCATTAGCTCACACCAAGATCACTGCATGGGGCCAAAGACCTCTCCCGACCAAAACTCCAACGTGTTGGAGCTAGAGCCTACAATTGACTTTCCCAAAATGGTTCCACAGATCTTGTCAGGAGAAGCTCCTCAAAATGAAATACTTTCGCAGCTCAAGGACCTCACCGACAGCGTGGCAGACATTAAAATCGAGCAAATGAGAATCAACAAGCAACTTGAAGATACCAACACTCAATTGAAAAAATTCTCAGAGGAGCTGCAGCTGGAGAAGGATGCGAGAGTTAGAAACCTGGCAGCTTACGAAGAAACCATCAACAGTCATATCACCCAGGCTGTGGGGGAGCTTAGTGAGGCAATGGAATCTGTTGCTGTTACAGTGGCGAAGATCAGTGACAGTACAGCAAATATTGGCTCCAGAAATTCAAAAGCTAGTGAAGGTCACGACCTCAAGTGGTCTGATGCTGTGGAACAAGAGGCTAACGATGCTTCTGTTTGTACACCGACTTCAACTCATACAATCCTTTCTGATAAGTGCTTTTCTGGGCCGTCAACAACACACACCAGAGGGAAAAGTATGGGGTGCGATGTTGGTAAGGAGAATTTTGGAAACCCAACTGGAAGGGGACGCTCCCAGACGAACCCTTCAACTGCCTCATGGGACCAAGGTCATCAACGAACCAGTGGTTGGAGTGGTCCACCACCAAATCAGAAAAGGGGCTTATGGAAACGCTATCGTGGTGGAATGAGTCGGCGTGGCAGCGCTAGGGGCAGCGGTGGTGGGAAATGTAAGTACCTCAAAGTCTTTTTTCATGCATTATAGCGAGTCGTGCAAAAGAAATTTACTGACTTTCAACTCCACAGATGCGACGCCAAACTTTGACGGACAGCGACCGCTAGTACCCATGGGTCTGCAAGAACTAACGCCTGCTGATTCATACACACATTCCCATATGCATGGCGGCTATGAAGACCAGACCCACATTCATCCTGCCGCCAGCACTCCGGGTCCATCTGCTACTCGTGGTCAAGCCTCTGGGCAACAAAATCGATTTCCTCCTCGTCAATCTAGCATGAGGCACAACCATTCCTTCATGCGTGGTGGAGCAGGGCCTTCAAGCCATAACTGCATGCCACATCGTGATTTTAGCCCCAATTATGGATCACCTCTACCCCGATGGGGCCAGGGACAGCCCCAGCCAACCTTTCACCATTTCCAAGCAACCCAAAATCCTGGCAACAACCCTCCAGGTGGGCAATGGCCAGCTGCTAATCCTGAGTTCAACAACCCATATAAACCATGGGCGGGCGTTTCGAATTGGTACCACCAGGTAAATGCCCAGGGAAACAACAATATGCGCAGCCCACCAAGTTAATGTCCTCAATGCTTTATTTGATGAGAAATGGTTAGATCTGGTCTATGAAGGTTCCATTTTTCTCCCCTGTGTCTTTGTCTCACCATGTCAGAAGTAAATCGCGGGATGAGCACTCGTCTTCCTAATCCTTTGGTTGTTTTCCGGTTATTCCCTGGCCCCATATCTTTTAATCAGATGGCTTTATGTGGAGTATGGAGTTGGTTTAGTTGTTTGATTTGTTTTGTAAGATTAAGTTGATACTCATCTAGAAGTCGATGTTTCGAGGACAACACCTCCTGGTTTATTTGTGAAGATTTTTGTCTCCTTCCTTGTCTTTATTTAGGCGTTCGACAATAAGTTAGTACATCCATTTAGAATTGCGACCAATCAGCAACGCACTGCAACAAAGAAATGTGAGAAGACGTTCAAAAGCATACAATTCTCTTTGCGAAGACGATGTGATATTTATGTTAAAAACGAGACTGAAAATAAAAGGGCTACGACTTGATGATACCTATTGCTAAAATCTCTCCCACCCCCTCCATATACTTCCACTATTTCACCGATGCAACCACTTTCTCAATCTCCTTCGCTGTCTCCCTAACCTTCGGACAATAGTGCAGCCTCAATAGCTCGCCCTCCCACACGTTCCCCGCAAACACATTGCTCACCTCAACAGTCCGTGCTAACGGATCAAACACACCATCCCCCTTACGCTCCTCAGTATTCCACAACGGCGCAATTTTCCGCCCATGCTGCTTTGCCACACGAGTCAATAACGATAGTAGAGCTAGCGATGACTTCTCCGGCAGCTGTAATGAAGCGGTCATGAGCCGTTTCGTGAAGCCTGCTAGGCGGACTGGAGGAGCCGCGTTGGTTCCTTTAGCGATTAGGGTTGATTGGAGGCATCGGAGGAGAAGAACTGTGGGAGTTTGGAAGTTTACTCTGTTGTTGGCTTGGGAGTTTTCGGGGGCAGGAGTGGAAGGGTCGGGGAGGTGTAAGGGTTTATTGGGGTTGTATTCGATGTCTGGGTGTAAGGAGAGAGGGTATAGTGATTGATAGAGGTGGGTCATGAAGTAGCTGAGGTCGAGGTGGAGGGTTGAGGCAGCTTTACTGGCATCTTGGCCCTCGAGGAGAGCGAAGGCCGTTATGCAGCAGAGTAGAGCCTCGCGGGTTGTGTTTCTTGCGGTGGATTCCTCGGGGAAGTCAGTTTCGTCATTGGAGTTAGAGGCATCCGCTGTTTCTGAAGAGTTTGAAGGGTCTGCTTGCGCAATCAGTTCTTTCAAAGCTTCGAGGAGGTCACCGAAGAAGTCCTGGTTGATTAAGTGGGCGTATTTAGCAAGTCCTTCGAGCACTGCACCCATTAAGCTGGGGCTGCGGAGTTTGAGGACGCGGAAATAGGTGCCGAAGACCAGCTTTAACGTTTCTGCTTGCATCTTATCCCGTTGCTCGTGGCTGACGAGGGCATCTGCTTCCTTCATGTCTTTCGCGACTGCATTTCGTTCCTTCATGAGCTTTCGTTCCTTTTTGGTCCTAAATTCACGCTTCATCTTCGGTTTTTTCCCATTGATTGTTTCGTCGTCGCCTTCCTTATCGATCGAATCCTTTGAACCTTTAAGAGAGAATTCGGAGAGTAGACGTAAGTGCAAAAAGGTATCCAATACGCTGGCGTGAACACGATAGTCTCGGGCTTTCATCATTTTAGATAGTAGGCTGACGGCTTCCATTGACACGATCCCATCCTCATCGCTGGAAAAAAGCTTCTCGATCGTCTCCCGACATTTCACAAAGTTATCATCCACCTTCCGACGACCAAGTTGCGAGATGAGAATTTTCAGTAGTTCACCCCGGAAATTGAAATGGGGCACAGCAATAAGCAAGCTGCAGGCGCAATTGATTGCAACAGCTTTCAATCCCTCCGCGTCATCACCCTCCTTCGTAGTCCTCTGCGGCTTCGCAAACGAAGCTAAAAGCTTGACAGCATTCTGATACCCGGCAAGAAGCGATTGCTCAAAATTGCGAAGTTTCCGTACATCCTTTGATACCTTGGTCGTCGTGTCCTCCTCGCCTAACGGCCTTATTCGATAGCCAGGAATCACATCTCTATAAACAGCCACTTGTGTAGCCAATGCCAGCTTTTTCACTGCAGGGAGCGAGGTCTCCAATACCATGTCCGCCAACCTTTTAAATAAACCTGTATGTTCTTCTGGATCCTCATTTATAAGTTCCGCGATCCTTGCCAATTCCTCTTTCGCCTCTAAAATCTGGACTTTGGCAGGTATATGTGGCTTTGGCTTTTCAACAACTTCAGGCTCCGGTTGTTCACCCGCATCATCTTCGTCCGAATCGAATGGGTTTTCCGAGTCATCGTCCACAGTAGGCTCCGCGACATGCTCTATCGCTCCTTCCGCAGTCTTAATCGGGAGACGACTTTTCTCTTTCTCTCGTTTGCTGGCTTTGCGTGGGCGGCGCTCGTAGTCTTGCTCCAGGTCCCACTCCGCAGCTCGACTGTAAAAATCCTTCATAGAGGAGACATTCGTAGCTTGTGTATGGGAGTCGCCATCCTTAGACGAACTGAGCCGCCTTCTTTTGACTGAATGTACAGGTGCCATGGGTAGTTCTGTTCGTCGCAAATAGTTTTCGGTCATGACGATGTTGTTGCTCTTAGAAAAAAATAAATTTGCGATGCAGAAATGCCAAGACTTCACGCTAGCAGAGAAATTTTATTTGCGGAAAAAGATCTCCATAGCTCCAGCTCCAGGGCATCCTCCACAACGGACTTGACGTAATCGTTCTTTTATTCTTTTGTTTCCCCCCCATTCATTATCTCTAGAGTGCGTATTGCCAAGAGAATACTCCTACCGCTATGCGCGCCCTCACAGAAACGGAGACCAAAACCCTCTTCTCCAAGCTCGCAAACTACACCGGCCGCTCCCTGAATAACCTAATTGCGCCTCCCCCCTCCTCTACCACAGAAGGCGGCGAGCCCTCAGCAGACGGTCGCCATGTCTTCCGCCTCCATGGCTCCCGAGTGTACTATGTGCGCCTCGCTATAGCCAACCTGGCCACTTCAGTGCCCCGCGAGAGCCTCCTTTCGTTAGGTACCTGCGTCGGGAAATTCACCAAGACTGGCAAATTCAGACTACACATCACTGCATTAGATGTGATTGCGCCACATGCAAGGTATAAGATGTGGATTAAGCCGAATGGGGAGATGCCATTCCTTTACGGGGGCAACATTGTGAAAGCGCATGTTGGCCGGTGGAGTGAGGACTGTCCTGAACATTCTGGTGTGGTGGTGCATTCGATGGATGATACGCCTTTGGTATGTTCCTATCATGGTTTATACTGCATATATATCGTACTAGTCGTTCATTGCTTGGATGATTGCTCATTACTTTTTCTTGTATAATAGGGATTCGGAGTGACTGCTAGATCGACGGCAGAAGCACGAAGGCTAGACCCCACAGGAATTACGACATTTAGGCAAGCAGACATAGGAGAGTACCTAAGAGAGGTAAGAAGAAAGATATCTCCGGGAGAAATCATAGTACCGTTTGCGCGGAGAGCGTTTTCTAACATGATGAATAGGAGGATACACTTTTCACCACATAATTATTTGCCATACTTATTTATTTTGTTTTATTTGTTTTCGTCCATTGCTTTTGTTGAAAAGTCTGGCGTTATTGTGTAATGGCTACCTACCACGGGTTTTCAGAGATGTTTCATGCGGGAATAAGGGTCTCTCGATTACGTTTTGCTTCAGTTGCTTTCAGGCTGCTTGCTGCCTTTGTCCTGCGTCTCACTTGTCCCCGATCTATTACTGTATTTGGTTCCGTATGTGTAGTGGCCTGCTCATACCCGGCATTCATTGCCATCGTCATCTTATTTTTTTGAATTGGAAATTGCCTGGGGATCTATAGAGTCCAACCTACTGCCACACTAAATGACAACTTAGAGGATTGATCAATAGTATATAATATACTAGACGGATACTGTAGCTATCTCAATACAGAAATTGTTTTAGAAACTATTTGGCGTTTTGCTGCTGGTTGCTTTCACTAAATGGTGATGGAAATTTACATGGTGCACGTGACTTCCCAGCATTAGCCGCGCGCTTCGGATCAGATCGGTTCGTTAGGTTAGGAGACAGCAGAAAAAGAGCAAAAGCGGCATACAACAAGGCTGATACCGAGCTTTAGCAGCTATTTTTATTCCCATCACTATTCTAAATATTACTTAACCGCTGGACAGTTCTTAAACTCTATATATTGAGTAATAACTCACCACGCTCTTGTCTTCAAATTATAAACAAACCTTACCTTACATACAGCTCAAGTCTGCACCCCGCCCCCACCTTTAGTTTTTATTCGCGCGTTTTGCAACCCACCGACCGTCTAGGTTGACGTTACTCCCATACACCGATAAGGGAGGATACGGGTTTGAAGTCCCTCAAGATGCCGTCATTATTTTCATCGGGTCAGAAACAAATGATAGCACAGTTTATCGGCATCACAGGTGCACGAGATAGCGTTGCTGGCAAGGTATGGCAAATGATTTTTTTTTATCCCTGAAACTGACCTTGATATTAATAACGGTGTATCCGGTTGATTTCATGTATCAGTCAACTATATCCATATTTTATTAATACGCGCACTTCATATTGGTAAGATGTATACTAACTCTGTGATTTTTCATATCTAATTTCTAGCTTCTCAAAACAAACGGATGGAACGTTGAACGTGCTGTAGATGCGTAGGTTATATCTGTTTTGCTTCTTTCTAATTTTGCATCTGCCTCATTTGAACGGTGCTTTTTCTTTTCTTTTCTTTTTCCTTTTTTCCTTTCTCATTCATTTTAAGAGCAATGCTCTATAAGACCGTGTGGAATATCTCACGATGGCTGGGTCTGTGACTGCGCTTTATGAATATGGGTTGTTCTTTGCCCATGCTAAGACAAGGGATCTGGAGCAAATTACCCGGGCGTAGGAAGGCACTGAATATGCTTCTACCAAAGCATTCCCCAGGTATTTCCTGGGAAACATTTGTCCCGCGCCACCAACTCGTCTGACATGGGGATTACCTGCATCTCTATATACCACCTTGGTTCCGCAAATGAATGTGCCTTCTGCTTCACATTAGGCCAATCATAACAGAAGACACTTCCCTACATTGATTTTCCTCGACAACCGTGAATCAAACGTTTATCCGCTTTTGCACATAAATTATCTTGCCTCCAGCATATCAACTTCCAGCCAGCAATCACCTACTCACATCCCTTTCTTTCTTTCTTTCTCCCTCCCTCACCACCACGGATATTTCTTCTGGTAGAGCTATATTTGATGGCGGATTGATCTCCAGCTCTCCAACACTATTCCTATCCGTCATCCCTCTCTCCGCAAGGAAGGCTCTCAGCACTGAAGCCCTGAATCGAGCAAAAGGACGTAGGGTCCCAGCATCTAAGCCCGTGGATTTCAATGCTCACTGATAAAAACATTCCGGGCTCTAAAGCAGCCAACATGCCATCTCGCCGAGCGCAGCGGGTGCGGGCCACGTATGATTTGCGGCCATCATTGCATGCTATACAAGTCTTTTTTGCCTGACCCAGCGTCTATACCCCCTATCCACTTCCTAGGATTATCACACAATATCCCTGATTCCCTTTCATTTTCACAATTACCAATTTTGGCTTGCGTGTCTGCTTTCTTTCCATTTTGCTAAATTGCTATTTCTTGTACCTTGACCTAAAACTGGGTTGCCGTAGCAAGCTGACTTTCCTTCCACGCAGGTATTATCAGAACTCAGCAGAAAGCGCTTCTAATGCCTCGGTTGCGGATCTCAACAAACTATTTGATAGCTATCGCGGTATGTTGCAACCTTTTACTAAAGGTGTCCACATACCAAAATAATCGTGCCCTTCTGACGATGCAGATAGACGACCCTGCAGAGAACCCAGATACCATTGGGGTTGAAGGCGCGGTTAAGTACTTAGAGGCCATTAACGTGCAATTAGATGAAGTTGTTTGTCTTGCCATCGCAGAACATCTACGATCTCCATCCATAGGAGAATTTACAAGAGAACCCTTTATTGACGGTTGGAAAAATGTTAAGTATGTTGCCCACTTTTTCAAATATCATCTCTCCCGAATCCCTCCTCTGTTTCTTTCCGTTATTATCGCCTACTCCTTTTGTTTCCCTCGTTTATGAACATCTTTCAAGAATTTCACAGCCACTTCTGCAGTTACTAACTCAAACGAAGCTGCGACACAATCTCGAAACAAACTTCCCACGCTGCATCGCTTCGCGCCCGCATCCCCAACGAACCCGACGTTTTCCGCCGTGTGTACCGTTACACCTTCCTAATCTGCCGCCTGGCGGGCCAGCGCAACCTCAGTATCGATATCGCTACGGAGCAATGGCGACTCTTCTTCACCAGCTCCAATGGTGGGATCAACTGGAACACACGCAGCACACCCTGGCTCGATTGGTGGATTGAGTTTATTGAGAGAAGTTGGAAGAGGCCTGTCAACAAAGATCTGTGGGAACAGGTTGAAGTGTTTATGAGGAAGACGAAGGAGGATGAAACTTTTAGCTGGTGGAGTGAGGATGGCGCGTGGCCGGGTGCCATTGATGAGTTTGTTGGGTTCGTACAGGCGAAGAGAGGTGGCAAGGGGCCTGCGGCGGAGGCTATGGAGGTTGAGTGAGCGGCCAAGGAAGTGATTTTTTTTTCCCAACTAGATGGCCTGTTCATTCCATGATGTGTTGTGTATGTGGGTGAGGAAAGGAGACTGCGTATTTCTAATGGATTTAGAACGACTTTTATTTACGATCCGTAGCATATCTATCTGGACAACTGCGAGGCTCAAGTTGGTGGCTACCATGTTCGTTTATTATTCATTGCCGAGGGACGTCTAGGAAAGCGGGAGGAGAAGTAGATGGAAATGGCCGAAATATTCTGAAACAAAGATCAACAGGCAGAAATTAGACAAGAATGAAAGAAATGGCTCGGGTGTTACACTGTTGAGTACCTACACATATATACAAGGTATATATTCCGTATTGCGGGTGGTAAAAAGGGCGCTTTTATATTTCATAGGATCGTAACGCACGTATCAAGTAAATCATAGACCAATTAACAAAAGATAGTCAAGGTCAATAGCGGAAGGAGGAATATGATTAGTGACTTTCTCAGAGCCAGCTGGAAAGCAAGATCTTCATTGTCATAAATCGACGACCTGCACCATCGGGTTTTGAATATGCCAAAACTTGTATCAAGTATCATATAGAGCGGAAGAGCAAGATATCACTGCGCAGCCAAAGAAATGGAGGTGTGCGGGCAATTGTTTTGCACATCTACCTACCTACATGTAGAAAGCAAGGAGATTTGAGAAGCAGAACAAAGTAGGGGGGTAGAAAATCAATATGTTGCTTATTAAAGGACATGTAACAGAAGTGTTGCGGTAATGTGTGTGTTCAATGCAAGATTAGCTTGAGGCCGGGACTGATAGACGAATGGAAGGAGAGTCGTGTTACCAACCAACCAACTTGCGATCATGGGTAGGGTAGGGAGCGCGATGAATCTTGAAGGCCGTTAACCCGTAGTCGTAGACACTCTGGAGGTATTTCTGGGTCAAATAGGAACGCACCATCGTGGTTCTCCCAACCTTATAATGGTTTAAAATATAGCCCCTGCTGCAATCACACCGAAACCGCCAATATTTCTTCTGCGTCGTTCAGCATGTTTTCTTCTTGTCACTCTAGCCTGCTCCTTGACTGTTCAGCAGTAAATATGTCAGTTCAACCTGTACGGGTCATAACGGAATGAACGAACAGAAACTAGAATATATGGGCAGGTAGGGCAAACAGGTCCTTACACTCGTCCCATGTCAAGGACTCCTTCGTAATGTCCTTTGCCTCCCGCCAATTATGCATACACCACGCCGCAATGAAGAAGTCGAGGAATGCCTTCTCCAGAGCATCAATGTCTGTTTTCAACTCCAGAGTTGGTTTATTTATCTCCACTTTATTTTTGGTATCCCAACGCCTCCTCGTCTCGATCGCAAGGAGTATACCGTCCTTGTCCTCTGCCTTGGATTTTACCCTTGTTTTCTTGCCTTTCAGCCTCCATTCGTAAAATTGCCCATCAGCCTCTTGAGTAGCTTCCGAGTCACTTGACCTCCTTCTCGCAGAGAGAACTGGCCGAGCTTCCAAGGAAGGCAAGCCATCCCCGCGAGCGGTCCAGCCATATCCGTATCTTGTCATACACTTGTTCATCTTCCCAAGCTTTTCGGAAAGATACTGCCGTCCGTCTATAAGTAAACCTCCAGTGGAGGACAGAAGTTGTGCTGTTTCCCGGAGAGCAAATACATCCTGTCTAGAGACATCACTCCCGGGAATTTGATATCTCTGGGCAATGCTATTAGGATCGGGCTTTTTCTTCCCAAGCCGTGTTACTAGGATGCCAGCTCCTAGTTCGTAACCGTCCAACTCGTGGGAGAGACTGTAGAGTGGGCAGTCGGGACATTTTGATGAAACAACGTATTTACCATCGATTGTGAGGATCGTGGGTTGTTCTGAATCTGCGGTGCTGGGCGCTTGGCCCAGGGAACCAGGAACATGGGAAACGAGCGTCTCATAGGCTGGAGGAGCTTCCACAGGCCGTGGTGGGCCGCTGTCCTCGTAAGCAGGTGGTGGACCTTTATTATGATCTGGATCCATCACGGTGCACGCTAGGAAAATAGACCTGATTTCGTCTTTGGCTAGTATTGTATTCCCTAGTAACAAAAATTCCAGAGCCTAAGGTTAATGGCAATGTGTTTATATGTCACTTGAAAGGCATCGTAAAGTAGGGCATTTAAGGTCGTCAGGCAGGGATGGGGCAGTGCATTAATAACTGGAGGCAATATGGGAGAATTCGCCAATGACGACATATCATAGTAAACATTCAAGTAGCGGAAGGAAATATTATTCAGCGCAACTTAATGTGCAGGCAGGCAGCTAGTAACCCGCAACGCTTGATGGCGGGCATTATTTTCATTCAAAGGTAACGTACGAAAGTGATATAAAATTAATTGTTGCTGAAGATTGCCCAGAGCTTGCTGAAACCCAACGTGGTAACTTTTACATCACGTGATGATTAATCCGTCAAACAAAGCAAACAACCACCCAGAAGAGTAGTTAGGCTTCTTTTTCTCCGGGCTTCGACCGCGCGCTGTTCAAGGCTCAGCAGAAAATCGGGCGATAAGCAGAACATCCACAATTCCGTTAACTAGTCCACGTCTATTTGCTGGGCCATCCTCGCTCCTTCTGGGTGCCCTAGTTAAAACCGAGCAACCGACTAAACTAAAGTCATGAACGCCGCGATGCAGCCCAACTACCGTGGATACCCCCCGACCACTCACCATCGTCCTCCTGCCACTCCGCGTCGAGGTGTCCCAATCCCTGGTGGGTTTTTTTTCCTTGTCCCGTTTTGTGCATTGTTTGCTTACTACAGTCTATTTTTTCACCTTGAATCGCGACACTTGCTTTTTGCAAGGGTGTAACTATATTGTATTAACCTTGTGTACAATCTCCAGGCCCCATGATGCCGGTCCCTCTCGCACAACATGCAGTTCCGAACCCTCAGCTCGCTCAGCGCAATGTCCCCAATCCTATAGATACTGCCTTGCGACGGAGTCGGAAACCAACAGACAAAAATCTTCCAGATGGGTTGGAGGAGTCAATCATAGGAGATGGTGTTACCCAGTACAAAAATATGCGAGATGTCGAGAAACGTCTGGATGCGGCGATGATGAGGAAGAGATTGGATATTCAAGATTCCGTCAATAGATCCGTGAAAAGATTCCGAACGTTGCGGGTATGGATCTCGAATACCGTAGAAAACCAGCCGTGGCAGCGGGAACCAGGACAGGACGGTAACGGGAGCGGGCGTTACAAGGTCAAGATCGAAGGAAAGTTGCTTGATAACCAACCCGATACCTTTGATTCAGAAGGAAGCGACAGCGACGACGAACAAACTAAGACGAATGGCCAGAGAGACCCAGATGCGATGGAGGAGGACTTGCCGCAAAAGCAGAAAAAACGTACCAAGAAACACTCTCTACCACAACGGAAGCGCCTGTCCCATTTTTTCAAGTCAATCACCGTTGAACTTGATAAAACCGCGCCCTCTGGCGTCGCAGATCTAGCGACTATCAATTGGACAAAACCTGCCATACCTTCCAGTGCGGTGTCATTACCCCCCAGCGCGGATTTTGACTCTCTTGAGTTTTCTCGGGCTGCGGAAGTCAATCTCAATGCCACAATCAGTCTCGTAAGAGACGAGAACCCAGAGCGTTTCAAGCTAAGCAAAGAACTAGCGTCCATCCTGGATACGGATGAGGAAGCCCGCGGCGGCATTGTCCTCGGCATATGGGAGTATATAAAAGCGATGGAGCTTCAAGAAAGTGAAGAAAAACGCGCAGTACGATGCGATGATCGACTGAAAGCCGTATGTCAAACCAAAGTCGTACCACTCCGTTGACCTTCATATCCCTCACCTAAATCAGTCAACTAATCAAGAAAAAAAAAACTCCACAGCTCTTCAACCGAGATAAAATGTTCTTCCCCGCCATCCCCGACAGCGCCAGCGCCCACACCTCTCCCCTCGACCCCATCAAACTCCCCTACACAATCCGCGTCGACCGCGAATTCCACACCAACCCAACACCCACGGTCTATGACATCCGAGTCGCCGTCGATGATCCTCTCCGCGCCAGAATGCTCGCAATCACAACGACACCAGACTACCCCAACATGCTCCGTCAAGTTGCCAGTCTCGACGACCAACTCGCCCTCGTTGTCCAGGCACTCACGCACTCCAAGGCTAGACACGCATTCTTCCAATCGCTGAGCCAAGACCCGGCGAACTTCATCAGGCGCTGGACGAGTAGTCAGAAACGGGATTTGGAAGTTATTATGGGCGAAGCGACGCGCGGTGGCGGGGAGGATGGGAGTGGGGCGGAGTTTAGACGCGGGGGAACGAACAGTGCTTGGGATACGCCTGTTGCTGCGGAAGCGGTGAGGTATATGCTTGCGAAGCCGGGGCGGTAGGTCCAGAGACGCAGAACGGAGATAGGGAAGGTTGTTGTGAAAACTCGAGTTTTTGAGTTGGGTTGGGTTTCCCAAATTCAGGAACCTCTACGAAGCACTGATTACACTGCGACGAGTTAGTTCCGGACCCTGTGAAGGCTCAGATTAGAAGGGGGGATGGATATGTGAAGCCTATATTAATCTTTTATGATAGTTTTGGCTCGGCGTGAAATTTCATTTGAATGGGTAGATGGGATTATTGTTCCTTCTATAAAGATTCAATTTTCAATTTTTATTCTCCATAAGAATTGTACGTGTACTGAGTAAAGCCATGAAGTTGGATATATCTAAAGTATCCCCACTTGATGCAAGTATAGATCTTGAATATGAGTCTTGAGAAGAATGTGATAAAAATAGAAATTGAAAGCATAATAGCTATAAAAGAATTCTTTAACAACTATAATTCATTTTTTACAGAAATGAAAAAGTAAGAAAAGAAATACTCCAATTTGAGATATGTGATTACAGCCATTATTCATGAATAGTACTCATTTACAGATTACACAATTAATTAAATGTTCTCAAAAACATGTGTGTTGATTGCGTGTTGAACCGGATCAACCTGCTGGGTAGATGGGCCTCCCTCATCTATCCCTCGAAATACACCAGAATCGCCAGGGCTGGTTGGGCATGGCAAGAAAATTACTTTACTTGACGCTGTCTTGGCCATTGCTTGCATTGTCTCCAGATATCTGATTTGCATGGCGGGTGCAGAGGAGAGGATGTCGGCGGCGGTTCTCATGAGCTACGGGGTGTAACGACGTTAGTGGAATTAAGCTATAATGAGAAAGAAAACGTATAGGCGTATATGCAGGGGAACGGCAGAAGAACGGGTATTCACGAACCTTAGCTGATTCCACCTCAGCGCGAGCAGCGATAACCTTACTCTCACCAATACGCTTGGATTGCGCAGCCATTGACAAGGATTCTTGCAGCTCATTGCTGAAGATGATATCCTTAATCAGCATGGACTCGACCTGGACACCCCAGCCCGCAGCAACTTCCTCGATTATATCTCCGATCGATTGGGCGAGCTCCTCGCGGCGTTCGATGACATCCTGTAGCACACGTGCTCCGACAACATGGCGGAGGGTAGTCTGTGTCCGTTCAACAAGCGCCTGGCGGATATTTGTAATTCCAAAGGCAGCCTTGTGGGGGGAGGTAATGTGGTAGTAGATAACGGATGTAAGATTCAAAGTGACGTTATCCTTTGTCATACAAACTTGTCGGGGAACTTCAACGATCTGGATCTTCACATCGACTGTAGTCAAGTGTTCGCTGAGTGGATTAACTTTGACCAGACCGGGATCGACAGCGCGTTCGAAGCGACCGAACCGCGTCACCAAGCCGACTTCACCCTGGGCAATGGGCTTGAAAGGGTTGGGGCAGCAGAAGCAGCAAGGGATGGCGCCCAGGAAGCCGATGCTTTCACCCAAAGTGTGGACTGGACAACGGTTTGATGTCAGTTTGCTGTTTTCAAGAAGGGATATTTGATAGCAAGCGATGTTATATCTAACTTACTCATCGACGCATACCAGCCGTGGACGGTGGCGTCGCCATCGGGATGCTTGAGTACTTGAGCATAGCTGGGCTGCAAATCCTCGAGGCGCGCTGGCTGCACAGTCACAACGCCATTGTTTGAAGGCCGAAAACCCACGTTGCTAGGGAGTGGCACTGGCGCTGGTGCTTTTTGGTTGGATGCCAGAAGAGCGGAATCCTCCCAGTTTTGCGCGGACATTTTGAACGTGATGCGCGCGTATCGATGCGATCAACAGACTATGTTGATGTATATGAGTTCGGTTTTGATGGATGGTCTGAGGTTGGAGGTGGGAGTTGGAAAGTGTGTTGTAGGCAATGGACGGATGGATGCGCAGACTATGTAACTGGAAAGTGGAACCCGGCTGCTTTATAGCTTGGAACGGGGGGTTGCGAGACTACTCTGCTGCTAAACTACTAACTACCGAGCGCCAGGGATGCGCAGCGAAACTGATACCTTGGGTGACGAAAGAATTTAGAGAAGGGATTGCTGCTTGTCTAGGTTCTTGCTAAAGAGAAGAAGATCTCCTCCGTCTAAGTTACCATGTTCTGTTGTTGCTTCGGGAGCCGCAACTGGCTTTCATAATTTATACATCTGGGGTAGTAACTTTTTACTTTCCTCACCTCCGATCTCCGCATTTTAACTCCAACCTCTGTGCCCTATTCAACCACAAGGAGCAAGCTTCATACAACAACTCTGGCGCTATAAATTATCGGGTACCGATCGCCTCGACGTCAGCCCAGCATACGAGGGATCTCCAAAATCGTCTGTAGCTGCATCCTTCCGGTTCCCAGCGCATGAAATCAGATCATTAACTTATATGTTTCCTGACCTACCTAGCCAGGCAGACAAAAGGGAACTAACTACCTAGGCATGTAGGCGATCAACTCCTGGCAAACTCTCCTTTCGAAACGATTAAGCGTAGCAATATCTAGCCCCGTTTCCTTTCGATGTCGGTGCTGTGCTTCGACAGAGAAACCCGATTGAGAGCGGCAAGGAGGAACGTTTAATTTTGATCGTTAACAAGGACTATTTTTATCCCACTGCGGCGGGCGTGGTCCACAGTGGAGCAATCCCATCCCGGCAACCTTCTAGCCTGGGGGCGTTTTAGCGGGACCGGCCCTGCGCGCTTCTCGTCCCAAGCCGCGTCAAGTGACCAAAAAATATTCCCTCAGTAGTTAGGTAACTAGTTAACTTACCCTTGCCAAAAGACTACATTTTGCTGCCAATCACACCAGACAGCAAAATACCTGTGCACAGAGTTCGAGAACAATAATAATAAATTCCTGCCACATTTCTGTCCGTCTAAGCCACATCCCCCCAGCAAACATACAATTGGACACCCAACCCCAACCCCAAACCTGTCCTCCGCTCCGGTCCTCTACGATAGGATGAGCGGGGAGCTAGCCAAAGGCTTGGAAGTTGGATCAGACATAGCCCTCTTCAGCAAAGTCTCCGGAGGCCACCGGTTGGCTGGTATATTTAACCTTCCTATCGCAAGGCAAGGGCATTTTGTGGAAGGTGTAAAGCTTGTGGATTGAAAGGTTGCTAGCTTGTGGAAAGTTATATGGTGGAAGGATTAGTAAGCCAGATCACGTGACCTGACACATTTCGGATCAAAGCCAATTATGAGAAGTGAATTTAAGGAGAGGTGGACCGAGAGGAGAGGAGGATTTTAACATGGATGTAATTCTGGTTAACCCGCCTAGATCCTACATTAATGATGGGCTAAGCCGGGGAGCCATTCAATGTTTGCCAGACGGCTTGCGCGCCTCGCAACGACTCGCGCAGCTCACCCCTAGCCAAACTGAAGAGAATCATTTCCTTCTGAGTAACGGAGCATGATCGGCGGTACGCTGCGCAATTGCGCCGAAAGTATTAAACAACTCTACTTCCTAGCGTTTGAATCCACATATGAGGCTACCCAGGCATGGTAAACCAATCCACGGATCTTACCTCGCCATACATCAGCGAATGAGGGGCTTGATTATGCCCATGAAATTTTCGGAAGATGTTCTAGAAGGCGGAGCGCATAGACGAGCTTCATGTGATTAGCCAGTTTCGTCCCCCCATTTCACCTGATGCGGCACCCTCATCACCAGACATAACCACATCCATTCTCAGCAAAGGGCCTGGGGGGACTTGTTGATAGGTGGGTTCCAAAATGCTGAATCATATCTTTATCAGTAGTTTGACTGCCTGCGCTTTTCCTATAATTGACAGTCGCAATGCCATTCACAGTTGACCTATAGCTATCTGGAGAAGAGCCGCAAGTTCCAATTCGCCCCCCCTAATACCTCACTTCCCCCAGTGTGGTGTTTGTGGCCAGGCTGTCCATTTGCCTTGCTTGAAGCAATCATAGGATGAGCCTCTTCTAGCAGTAATCCAGGACCTATAAGATAAATGCGATGCGAGGCTAGTCTAACAATGACAAGATAGGGCTCTAAAACCAATCAATGAGTGACTTACTTCAACATGATAGTCCCATAACTTCGTTTCCTACCAAATAGAAGCCGTATATTACCACTACGAGTTGCCGTTCAGCTCCCGTTACGGGCTCCCCTCCAAGAAACCACTTACTGAAAATAATGGCGCTCAGCAACAAACATATCCGGACCGCAGAGTAGTACAGATATGGATATGGATCACTAGCTCCTCCCCTTCTCTTTTCCGGGCAGATACTCACCGCAGTGGTGGGCCTACCCTGCCAGATGTCCACCTATTTCCTACCAACAACACCAGCTTACATCCCTGCTCGTGGACAACGGGAAGGGGCGATCGACGAGCGACGACGATGGCCGGGCAGACTGAATGTGTTGCATCTTGGTTCTCTTACCTACCTACTCTTCAGCGTGTCTGACCGGCAATGTGGAAAAGAAGGTACAGGGACAAAGGTCTTCTAGCAAGGAACTAGAAGAAAGAAAAAGAAGTTAAATCCAAAAATCGAAAATCATCGATGATTTCGTCCCATTCTTCTCAAGAAATTCTTTTTCTGGATGGATTTTGCGCCGTTGTCGCGTGATTTTTAACATTGGATTTACTTTCTTCTCTTTATTTCTTTTCTCCTTGCTAGGCGGCGGCCACCGAAGCAATATGTCAATGAAGGCGGTCTTATAATTAACTGTGAAATTCGATGCTTTATCACTAGACTGAAATTGAACAACATCCTTACATATGTAGTATGTACATGTACCACCAACCTTGGGTTTGCAGCCACAACTTCTATCACCCCATTAGCAAACTAAGCTAGGAAGCTTAGAACAAAAAAAAAATCCTGAGAGTTTAAAAAAGCCCCTTCTAGAGAGCTTGAAGCATGGATCTTGGACACTCAAAAGGACCGTAGTTATGCCACAAGTTCGAGAAAAAGGGCATGAGGATTTAGGCGCGCGAATCTGAATCTAAGCGCTCGCTTAGATAATTAACGCGGGAACCGCTAGCCAGCCATTGCTTCAAACTGGCTAGAAGGGGCGGATCTTTTTTCAGTTTATATTATTTTTTCATTTTATTATTTTTTTTTTCATTTTTTCATTTTTTCATTTTCATTTTTTTCATTTTTTCTCTGTTTGAGTCACTTTATACATAGGTGGCAAACAATTTCCATTTTCTTCTACTTTTTAGAACTAGTGAAATAAGCTTTTCCTCTGCTTTCACATGTAAATTTGTCTGTCACATGTCAAATAGAGCTCAAACTACCTCTGGAAAAAAAAAAGAAAAAAAAAAAAAAAAAAAAAAAAAAAAAAAGAAAAGCAAAAAGAAAACAGGAATGATGATATCATATTTTGAACATTGTCTCAACAAAGTGGAAACAAAATCAATTATCACAAGCTAGAATATGTATTTTCAGATGAAAGAATGAAATGAAAGAAGTAGAGAGAAAATTTCCAGTTTAGAACTCAAAAGATACTAGATTTGTTATAAATAATTAGTGAAAAAAATTAACCTAAAGTAAGCAAGTTATGCAGAGAGGCACTAGCAGAGAGAATAGTACAGTTTTGATGATACAACCTGAGACACATGGAAGATGTCAATGATGTATGAGAGAGGAAAAGTCGGTAACAAAAAAAAAAAAAAAAAAAAAAAAAAAAAAGCACAGGAATTGGCAATTGGCAATGGAAAAAATCAATAATGATAAATGATAGAACACCCTGTCCACTGAAAATAAAAAAGCAATCAAACGCCAGACAAGAGTGAAGGAACAATCTCACCCCCCCAAAAAAACCCTCAATATCACACAAGTAGCAGCTATGGATGAAAGAAACTGAACCCATTCAGTAATTAGTACCAACAAGAAGACAAACACTTTTTAAATCTAAAAGGAGAAAGGTCTTTTTTTTTCATCTTTTCTTTTTTCATCTTTTCTTTTCTTTTCTTTTTTCTTTCTTTTTTTTTTTGGGGGGGGGGGGGGGTCAATCGTCCAGATTAAGAATCAAGGCTTGGACAGACTCGAAAGAGTCATTCATCCCTCATCTCACTGCTTCGAAGGTTTCTGCTTCGAAGCCTTCTGCTTCTTCTCCGAAACAACCTCAACGCCCTGCCTCCCCTTCTCCTCAGCCTTCGTAATGTATGACCTCAACCACGCCAACGATTCTGACGTGATAGTCAGGCCCGTGGTGATCACTGCCTTGCCGACAGTAACGTATCCATCGCCGCCACCGCAGTTCTTGTACTCGGACGAATACACCTGGAGCACATGATTCTTGCCCTCTTCAACGACACGCAGTGGCAGGTGGATGTATCCTTTGAGAGTGCCTTTGATGGTCTCCGTGTCCTTCGTGACGATGGGGAACCGGTCTTCGACGCGCTTGAGCCCTTCGTCGCCGAGGGAGTCGGCTTTGGCGACGTAGGGGCGGACATAGGTGTAGGGCTTGGAGAAGAAGGGGAGGACGGGCTTTGCGTAATTGGCGTAACCTTGGTCGGCGAGCTGGAGGGACTTTTGGCCGTAGGGGTGGTTCTTGAAGTAGGTAAGGGAGTCGGAAACTACAGGGAGGGTGGAGAGGTGCTGCCGATGAATATATAGGTTAGAGAGCTAACAGGGAGCAGGAGGAGTGATGAGAGGGGAGGCACAAACATGGAGGAACTGGGAGGATGGCTTTTCGCCATTGACGATGGGTTCACCCATGTTGAGTGGTGGTTTGTTTATTGAAAATAGGATTCTGTATGGCGATTAGTGGGTTTTCTATTATTACTAAGGAGTAAAAACGACGGTATGAATAGGCAAATATAAAGATATATACTTACTATACAGGTAGCAGGTGATGCAATACGTCAGGACTGAAGGTGTATCAAGTAATATATATATGGGACTAGGGATAGGGGATAAATTGCGAAGCAGTATGTAGTAGTTGTGTTCCTAAGAAAGTTATAGGTAGATGGAGGAAGAGAAGAAGAAAACAGCAAAAGGTGGGAAGAAGAGGGGAACCGGGTTGTTGTTATTATGACTATGAAGCAGAGAACAGGAAAAAATGAGGAGAGAGATCAAGACCAATCCAAAGCCAAGAACCCCTCAGGCAGAAGGGAAAACGTGCGTGCACCTACCTACCTCTTGCTTCCCAGCTTTTCCGCAGCAAGCAACAACCGCAAAACTCTCACCCTTTTCCTTGTCGTTATTCGAACTCTACTAATAGCCCTGGAGCTTTGCGCTTCTAGATCCCGCCTTGCAGCGAATCAGCGCCCAGGGTCGCCCGTGTGTGAGCTCCTGAGCCCGAGCTGCTGGCCACTTACTACCAGGGCCGGAAGCATGTGAAAGTGGCCAGGCCGGCGGGGTACAGAGGTAAGCATAGTCTACGTATGTACAGTACATGTACAGTACATGTATAGTATATGTACCGTACCTGCGCCTATACCTGTGCAGACATGCATTGATCTTGGGGGTCCCGCGGTTGATCGGCCCTTCTACCAGCAGTGCGCTGGTGGTGACTGAGCTCTTTTGCCCCAGTAGCCTACACATGATTATTATGATTATTAATAAAATATTGACTCGCCTGTTGCTTTTGGCTTCTGTCTACTTGCCAGTTTTCCCAGTCTTGATCTCTCCCCGTAAGTTTATCCACGGCCAGCACTCACTAATGAAAGATAAGTTAACCACCACACCAGCACAGCGCCCCACGTTCGATAGTAAATCTCTTCGCAATATCTGTCCTCTCCCCAAGGAATTTTTGCAAACAGAATATGTAAGTTTACATTACTTCGTGATATCATTGACACAGGTCCCGCTCCAGTTGCATATAACTATGTAGTTAGTCAATGGGTATTTAATATTTCAGTCAAATGGATTTTTTTAAAGACACGAACTAATTATACTAATCTGAATGTAGCTAGTGTATTACTATATATAATTTAGTCAGTCTTGGCTTTAGGTACCGAGTCTCTCAGATAGAGTTCACCCAGGTATATAGAGACCTGAGTACCCTAGTCCAGGTCTAGACCCCCCTTTCAATAAACCTCCAACGAGAAGATATTGATTACTAATAAATCAGTATCATCAATGCATGCACCTTGTAACAACTAGTTTTGTCGCGTCGCATGGCGCCAATTCCCCGCATACGGTAGTCTATAGTGACAAATGTGTCAAATGGCTTTTTTCAATGTTTTTTCAGTGGAAAGGCTTAATTCCACATAATACTTATTTTATAGTCACGCACCAATTACACTAGTCCTAATATAGTTAGTATATTACTACATATGGTTTAGTCAGACTTGGCTTTCAGACTATGAACTTCCACCCCACAAATCTCTTACTCTGTAACCTCTCACACTGGCGATGGAGGCTCTCAGGTATATAGATATAGAGTTTCACTGCGCCCGCTGAGTATAGAGACCCTCTGGGTAGAGGACCCTGTGTATAGAGCCTCTGGGTATAGAGACCCCTGAGCATAGAGACTGAATATAGATTCCTCTATATACACTGTGTAAGAGACGGTCTCAGAGCCCTGGGTCATTATTTCATACAACCTCCAATGAGGAGATCTTGATTGCTAATACAATCAGTATCATTAATGTGTGTTCATTGTAACACTAGTATAAAATATTCATTTGACACATTTGACACTATAGAACTGCCGTACCGCAGCCATGCTTAGTCTTTTAATGAAGCTCGAAGTCCTGTTTGAAGAATCCATGTCCCAGGTACACTCATCCATCTCAGCAATGCCTGAGATGCAAGGGTGATTAAATATGTTCTTTCGCCCGTAGCAGAGATTTTCACCTTTTGACGCTTAATGGCTATTAGCGGTCGATTTTTCTTGAGACCAGCAACTGAGGAGTTCTTTATGAAAAGGTAATACCAGATACAGTTCATTTGGAACAAGATTAGATTTTTATTATCTTCCGCCACCTTGTTCGGGATGGCGACTTCCCCACCACAAATAATATCATCTATCAGGTGAAACCCATGCAAATACGTTCTTTTTATTGAGATCTTGTTGCTCTCTATTATGATCCCGTCCTCCCTGCCTATAGAGCTCACCACGGGGATAGCATGCCGCTTGCCTCCCCGTCGAATTTGACATGTGATGGCGGGGCTTCTGTGTGTTACTTCTGTGTGTTATTGTGCTATTGTGCTATTGTTAGGCACACGCCAAAACATTGGCCGCCTACATTTTAGCAGCTTGTCCCGGTCCGGTCCGGACCGGACACCCCACCATGCCTTTCCCCATTCACATGACTCCTTCAGAAGTGAGCTTTCCAATCATGAAGTCTCTTTTAACTAGGCGGCAAATGCTGACTACCCCCTTTGTCTTTTTCCCTCGAAGAGTAAGACCCGTGCATTAGATTAGAAATCATCTGCCCAATTCTCCTCTCTAAGGGCTTTTTGCCTCTTCAGCGTTTCAAATTCAAAAGGTCAACTGAATGATCAAGGCGGAATCAGTAGGCTATCAGCTTCTTCAGGGGTCAGGTTGCCTCTTATAATGATAAGCTCCTGCTCTGGGATTCGGGTTAATAGAAAGAGAGGATATATATGACTCCGCCGCCGAACCGACATTAGCGACAAGGCGAGGCGCGGCTCGGCTAACCTTATCAGAACATTCCAGGAATGGATGGCCAAGAAGCATTTAGGTTTGTGCAACATATGAGGCCCATATCAGCTACTCCGCCATGGTAAAAGCTTAATACTCATTATATAGACACGCACCAATGGTGCTAATTCAAATATAATTAGTGCATTACTATATATGGGTTAGTAAGTCTTGGCTTTCAGACTATGAGCTCCATTTCCACAGATCTCTAAACATACTCAGCACCGGATATAGAATCTCAGATATAGAAACTCTCAAGTATTGTAAGAAATCCCGCTTCTCACGGATTCTTTACCTCTATTCCTATCTCTCACATAATTAATAGGGTTAGCAGCCCTTGGCTACACACAACTATATAGACTGAAGTTTGTGAATACTATTTATAACTCAGCTTGAATACTATTATATATTTAATCTCTATATTTATTCTTTCTATTATAAACACTTCTAGTAGTTAACAGTATATATTATATCAAGCTGTAAATATCTGAATAATTGTCTGTGAGTACTTATTCTTACATTTCAAGCTCAGTCAGTCAGTAACTGTCTATTATAACTGAAAGAACTAGAAACTTATATACTTCAATCTCTATAAACTCTACTGCAGACACTCAGAAGCAGTCATCTGAATCATGAATAACTTTTATAAAAGAAGTCTTAGAGAACTTATTAATTACTTATAGAATATTATTCTTTATATCTATAACAGAGAAACTCTCTAAATGTAAGAGATCTACGCTGAATAAATCAGTATTATATTGATAGATCTTATATAATAAAGATAAAAACATTAGAGAAGAAAAGAAAGAGAAAGTATGAGAATCAGTGATTGAAATGAATATTTATACATGTATATAATGATGTATGCAGTGAAGCTTCAGAGTAGAAGAATATATATATGTTTATAGCAGCTAAGAATCAGTGATTAAGAATAACTGAGAATCAGAGTATATATATTCATAGCAGCTGAAGATTGATGATTAAGAATGACTGTAAATCAGAGTATACATATTCAAGAATGAAGTGATTGAAACCTGTGAAGTATAATGAAATAGTCTATATAATTGATTAGATACAGCTTATCACATTAATCTCTCTCTTTCAGAAGCAGTTTTCATCAGTCAAGAGTCACTGTTTCAGATAACACAGAACTCAGAGTTCAGATCAGTTAATTAGAACTGACTCATTTCACAAAATATTATCAGCTGCAGCTGTGAGATCTCTTATTGAGAATATTCTCAATCTCTTACTCAAGCTTATTATCTTCTTCTATGATGTCTGATAACTGTCAGTTGAAAGTCAGTTAAGAAGAGAATAAGTCAGTGATAGTATAACAAAGTAAGCTTATATAAAATACATTATAAATTTCTGATAATATGTTAAGACAGTAGTTATAACTATCTAGAACTTCTATCACTTTATATCTGATATAACAGTAATCTAGTGTATAAGATGAACATGTGATTTATATATTCTTAAGATTCAATCATATTTATATCAGATCTTCTATCTTATATTATTCAGCAGAGTCTCAGTGAATATTAATTTAATTCTCTTAATCTTATTTCACAGTTATTATAGAGATCTCTGCTTAATTACAGGTAGACTGGCCGCTGAAATCATGAATTTCACGTTTGGTTTTATTTGATCTGATTTCATACATTTCTTAGCATGAATTCCGCTGGGACTGGCTATTAAAAAAACATGTAAAGTGACTATATATCAGATCTTAAAATGAAATCATGACTTGAAAAAAATAAGAAAGTGATTTCATTTGATCTCATTTAATCTCATTCTTAGCATAAAGTTACTATTTTTAGACATTTTAAGGTTTTTTTTAGACTATTTTTAATTTTTTAAAAAGTAACACTTTTTGGTAACACTTAAATAAGATTTAAAGTCATTTAAAGCAATAAAAATAATTTAAATTGAGAAGTGAAAATCATGATCTCATTTGAAAAATGTGACAAGAGTAGATAGTAAGTCTCACTGAAACAGTATGAAACTACTATCTAATGTTAAAACTGTGTAATGAGATCAGTTGAATTGGTAATGAAACTATCAAAAAATCTAGTCCTGGTCTCAGACATGGTCACACGGTCAGTCTAATTACAGACATCTCAGAGCTTCATCACTATATTATCAGTGATTTGAATCAGACTGCAGAGATTCAGTGTGAACTGTATAATCTCTAGAAGATTTAACACTTTCATATAATATTCATATATAAGAAAGAACAGACTTATATCTATTAAAACAGTATCTTAATCATTGATAGTAATCTCTGTGTATAGAAGAAGATTATATCAATCATTTTATAAGTAATTACAGAACTTATGAAGATAATTCTTTATAATCTGAACTATTCATTCTGATATATCATCAGTCTCAGAGTGATAGACAGTTCACAGATAATATATAATCTTGAGAACTTGACAGATTCTAGTTCAGAGAGTGCTCATGAATTGATAGTCTCAATTCAATACTATTAATCTCAGTAACTCACACATTCAATAGAATGAACTCTGTAAGAAGACTTCAGTGACTTATTCAGTATTTATCTTATTACAAGATTTCAATATTATATCTTTACTTAGTCAGTTAATAATGATCAGAATGTTTCTACAACTCTTACTCTTAGATAGATTAATAGTGAAGTCAATCACTACATCTTATCAGATTCTATCAGAAATATTGAGTGATTTTAGTAGATCTTTTCTACAGTTACTTTATAAGATAATAAAAGAACAGTGATTGCAGTTTCAGATAAAGTATCTGATACTATTTAATATCTCAGATTAATAGAACTCTCAGAAGATTATTTCATACAGTTGTTCATAATCTGAATAGTCAGTTATACATGAATCATGCATCTCTTGTATTATTCAGATATGTAAGAGTTCAAAGTCAGAGACTCAGTATTGTTCACAGAATTATAGAGTGTTATTATCATCAATTGAACATTCTGAGATGTCAGTTCTTATATATAATTCTGAAGAAAATCAGAGTGCTTCTCATTATACTGCTTCAGTGAGTGCTTAAAGAAGTTTATCAGTTTAAGCTACTGTATATCATAGCTCATCTAATGTAGATTCAGAAGAAGTTAAGATATTAGTAACAGTTTTAATCAGAGAAGTATGTATAGATAGACTGACCGTGTGACCGTGTCTGGGACCAGGACCAGATTTTTTGATAGTCTCATTACCAA